GGTGGACTAGCAGGCGGAAGGCCCTAGGAGGTTCCACGTGTTACAGGAGTCCAGACAGCTGCCACGGCATCAGATTTTACCATGCAAACCAATTGAAGCGGTGCCGAGGTTGCCCAGTCTGCGAACACAGCACCAGACCAACAACCACAGCAACAACAACGAACCGGCTATTTCCGCACCCTGTCGCCCGCAGCGTGCCAGGCCAGCAGCATCGGCGGCAGTTTTTGAGGCAGCAACGGAGGTTACGCGGCCCTCGGCAAGAAGAAGTCGCCACCGCCGCCGCCGAAGCGGAAGCCGGGGGAGTGGGTAGTCGCAGCGGTACGCTTCATGGGGATGGGGATGGGGTGAGTGGGAGTGGGAGTGGGGGTGGGAAAAGGGGGGAGGGGAAGGGGAGGTGGGTGATGTTACAGAGTTTGGAGGTGTGGCGGATCTTGGAAGGTGGGAGGCCGAGTGAGGTGGATGAGTTCACCGTGGGGTTGTTGGAGATTAGTTGTGGCGTGGAGCATGTGGAGAGTTGGTGTTTTGAGAGAGGGGGTAGTTAGGGATTTGGGAAGGGAGTAGTAAGGGACTCTATTAAGTGAGAAAGGGGGTATGGAATAGAGGTTGTCTCTTGCAAGCAAACACCGCGAATCCAGCGGGGTTCGAATTATGTAACTGCCTTCTCAACAGGGTAAACGAGTACCTGAGAGGAGAAGATTTGTAGCCTTTTCTATTCTGGTAACTATGGATATGGTGCTTATAGTAGGTAGGTAGGCATCTACCTATCTAACCGGATGCTCCGATAGTCAATTTCCGAATCAAAACTCGGAGCGCTCAGCGTAGTGAGATTCAAGCCCCTGCTAGTGGACTGGCTCAGACGAATACGCGTGCAACCACACAGAAAGGTGGGCTTTGTAAGATGCCTATTCGGTGGGTAATATCTCACCTTGCTCGGAGCAATAAGAAGGCTAAATGAACGACAGGAGAAAAATGTTGCTGGCTGAAGTGTGACACTGAAGATATCATGCGACAGGCCTCTCTGTAACAGACTTAATTACCTCCCTAACCTATCCTCAACTCCCGCTTGACTGACATAGTTATCGGTTATACAATGTGTTTGAACGTTCTCGCTCATTAGTACCCCCTCACGTAAACTTCCCATTCGTAAAATCCAACACGGTCGTTGCCTCGACCAGCGGTTTAATCTCCTGCTTAAAGGCCTGGTGCACCGGGTCGTGCTCAACATAGTAATTCCTGTCGTCTGCGTTTGCAAACTGGACAACGAAAAGCGTGTGTCGCGCCATGCTGCGACGATCATTAACAATAGAATGTGAGACCCACGTAAAATGACCAACCTGTAGCTTTTCAATCGAGTTGTCCTTCCCCCCGGTCAGACTCTTGATGTAGGGGAATTTGGAGTTTTGGGCAACGCAATTGTCTTTTAAAGACATCATTTTGGCACATGCCTGCCAAATTAATCAGTACATGCCGTGACCACTCTACGAGCTAGACAGACGGATGGCATACCACATCAACGGCCGCTGGGTCGGCATCGCGTTTAAACTGGAACATGACGACGTGTGTGAGGGTGTCGGCATCGCCAGGCCCTCGATTGGCCATCGCGTCCATTGACGAAGACGCGAAACCGATGGGGTCAAAAAACAAAAATAACGTGAGTAGACCGACGACAAAAATAGCAATCCTCCATACGTGAGGGCGCGCCCCCGCGATGTCAAGCATGGTGGATGTTTTGGTTTGGTGCGATGAATGGGGAGCTCGTGAGCGCGACCAAAAATTTCCGGGGCCCAAGCTGAAGTTTGCTTGACACGGCCTGGAATTATTCGTATAATAACACGAGAATTATCGTGAAGGAAGGGGCAATTTCGCAAGGCAGATTCGCACGTGATTGTGTCACCTTGTCGCACCTCGCCAACCGATTTATTGACGCTCCTTTCTTCCCAATCAAGCCAATCCGCATCGTGAACGAACCTGCAGGCCCTCGGCCGAGACTCCGCGGCCTTTCCTGATCCAGTCAACCTCTCTTGACGCTTCTTAGCCCCCAAACTTGAAGTACCTCTTCGAGTAATATCGGGTTCGGGTTCAAATTCGAGGTGCGAGCGTCTTTTGTCAGCACATCCCTGCATCCGAACGCAAGAACCCCACGTCATTGCAACCAAGGGAGCTTTGTTATCTCCGACAGAGTGTGAAGGGTCGGCCCGGTCGGGACGAGTACAACCCCACCATATACACAGGTAGTAAGTGTGTTGCCGTGTGTATATATAAGTGACCATCTTGATAGTTCTAGGGAGGTTGATCTTTGAAACTCAAACACACCGATTCCGCCTACCTTCCACATACGATCCACCAGGAAATGCGCAGAATGTCGTCTCTCAAGATAACCAGCGCTTTCAAGCTTCCCAGCGGCTACGAGCTCCCGCGCCTGGGCTTCGGCGTACGTTCATCCCTTGGCACAAACATCACTAACACGACGCGATGACTAACTTATGTTTCTTCTCTAGGTCTACCAAACGTGAGTGTACACTCCCGGCATCTTCGGAAGGCCTCGAGGTTCCCCCAACAATCACGGTACTAACACCGGAGTTTCCGGCTCTTAGCCCTGTCGAGGACACTGCGCGATGTGTGACGGAGGCTTTCCAGGCCGGTTATCGCCATGTAAGTCACTTAGTATTACACCCTCGACACCTTTGCTGACCGAAGCGGCTACCCCGTGTAGATCGACTCGGCAGCCGGCTACAGAAATGAAGGCCCCTGCGGCGAGGCGATCCGTGCGGCATCCTCCATCCCGCGCGAGAGTATCTTCTTCACCTCCAAGGTCCCACCCCAAAAGATGGGCTATGAAGGCACAAAGTCCCAGATCGCCGAGTCCCTTGCCGAATCCGGCTTGGAGTACATCGACCTCATGCTAATCCATGCCCCCTACGGCGGCTCGGCCAACCGCAAGGGCTCGTGGAAGGCCCTGGTCGAGGCCGTGGAGGCCGGAAAGCTGCGCAGCATCGGTGTGAGCAACTATGGCGTGCAGCACCTTGACGAGCTTGAGAAGCACATCGCCGAGCTCGAGAAGGAGCGCGGCGGGAAGGGCAAGGGCGGTGTCATCAGCGTCGGGCAATGGGAAATCCATCCCTATCTGCCCCGTAACGACATCGTCGAGTGGTGCGCCAAGCGCGGTATTGCGGTCGAGGCGTACTGCCCGTTGGTCCAGGGCAAGCGCTGGGGCGAGCCCGCCGTCAAGAAGGCGGCGGAGAAGTATGGGAAGAGTGAGGCTCAGATCCTGATCCGCTGGAGCCTGGACAAGGGGCTCATTCCCCTGCCCAAAAGCGTCACCTCGCAGCGCATCAGGGACAATGCGGATGTGTTTGACTTTGAGCTCACCCCTGAGGAGGTGAAGGAGATTGAGACGGACGAGTACACTGTGATCGCCTGGGATCCGACTGTTATCCCGTTGGACCAGTAAGGGGTTACAGGCAGGCTGTAGGCCAGTTCATGCATGACATTCAACAATTGCATGCGGCCAGCCGCAAAACGTAGTTAGTTATGGCAGAGCACGAAACCGCAAACTCAACCTGCATTGATTTTCAAGAGCAATCAAAATTATCACCCAACCAAAGCCAAAAAGACCGGCATGCTACTCAATCCTGTCCCCACAACAATCTCTCATCTTCCCACTCCCAAAAACAAACCCTCCAACACATCCAGATCCGCCCAACCCACCACCTCCCTTCCCTTCATCAACAACCCCCACAACTCCTCCAACGACCCTCCCTCCTCCCTCACATCCCCCCCAACCCCCAATCCCATCCCAACCTCCACCGCCCCCGCAACAAACGCCACCGCCAGCGTAACCCACACCACCACCTCCTCCGCCCTCACACTCCCCGGCGGCTGCCGAAACTCCACCGTGCCCGCAATCCCGCGATCCACCACCTCCCCACCCCCCGTCGTTGTTTCCGCTCTCAAAAACCCCGAAAAATCCCACTTACACGTCTTCCCCCGCACAAAATCTGCCCTCTTCCCCCTCACCACCCCATACCGCGACTCCTTCGCCACCAAATTCATCACCTCAACCACAGGCCGCGCCGGATCCCCCCCACCCACACCCGGAGCGCGCATACAGCCAGCAGCAGTAGCGGCGGCATCCACCCTCGTCAAAGAACTGTGGAGCGACAACGCCGCCAGGGATGGGATTGTACGCGTGCCGGTTGGACTGCGTCCACAAATATGGGGGGCTGTTCGTACGCCGCCCCGGGCCGGATGAGGGTGTCGAGCGCCTGCTCTACTAGAGAGTTGATGGGGGAGGGCGGCGAGGTCCGTGGGGGTGAGGCCGGGGGGGCTGGTGGTGCTGCTGCGGGAGATGTGGATGTGGGAGGAGCAGCGGGGGGTGGGGATGATGGCGGTGGTGGTGAGGGTGAGGGTGGTGAAGAGTTGGGTGAGCGTTTTGGTGAGCGTGGGGAGGGTGGCCGGGGTGTGGATGGGGGAGATCAGTTCGATGCCGTATTGGTCTTTTAGGAGGGGGGGCAGGGGGTTAGTGGTGTTAGACTGAGTAGACGGGAGAGGGCTGCTCACAAAGGCTTTTGCCGTTGGGATCCTGAACTGTCACTTCCCGGACGATGCTCCATTCGCTGTAGTCGCCGCTGCCGTCGACGCGGTTAGGGATACCGGCCTTTGCCAGACGCTTGCTTAGGTCCATGGCGAGTGAGTGCCATGTTTTGTACTTCCTGCTGGGGCTTTCGAGGAGTAGTTCAATCTCCACGCCGAACCGGAAGGAGTTCTTGGTGCTATGAGTCACAGTCATGCTGAAAGAAGTATCGGCAAAGGATAGATTTGGGTGATAGTCAGTTATTCTAAAGGTAAATGGTATACAGATGAGTGAACCCGTGTTTGAACCAAGAAGTCGACCCAGAGCCACCATCATTGCGTTTTATAATCTCAGCTTTTTTCCATCTCACCCTGATACCCCCGTGGCTTTTGCGGCTTGCAATCCCCCCCTATATCACCAACGACTGGGGAATATGTCTGAAATCATCCTTCTATGGCGTGACACCCAACGAACTCCATTCAACCTCCCCTCTTCAAACATAATGGAAACAGCCCGGTGATTTGAATCAACGGCCGACTAGGAAACTAGACCTTCTTAGGCAGTCATTTTGCCGGGAGACGAGTCCGGGGTTGAGGGGTCCTTTGACTGACCAAGAAGTACTGGTGTTCAGCATCCCACCAGTGACACTCTAGTGTAAGAAGCTAAGCATGGCGTATCGGCGTCTCGCCCTGGGCCTCGGGATACGAATCATGTCTAAGATCGGTGTACAGTCCTAGCTATAGCGTGCGTGGTATGGGGTCTGGATGGATATGGACCATCCAACCCTAAGACTGTTGGTAGGAGATTGGGGCGGAGCCACAAGCGGCCGGTGAAGGCGCTTATTCCAGGTAGAAATCGGCTGAGCTCAAGCCCGAATCTTGCTTCCTGCTTCCCTTAATGGAGGTGGGACAAAAGCGAAGAGGCTTCCGGCTCCTTGCTCGGCTAGCCTTGTGGGTTGCAGATGCGGTGACCCCTTGGCCACCTCCATCAGGGCCACAGTGCTACCATTTTATGCAAGGCTACAGAGGTAGCAATCGTAAAGACCACAAATCTGTACTCGGGTCAACGAGAATCCCAGATCTTGTTCCCATGTCATCCAGAATCCCGATGCTACATGCGATGACGGGGAGCACCAACGCAGAACTTCATGTTTTTGCTCGCCAAATTCCAAATTAGCGGGGCTATCCCCCAGCACAAAGGTGATACCGCCCAGCTGAGAACTTCCAGTACAAAATGACCAAGTGTAGATTGTTATCACGCCGTGGCGTTAAGCGCCGGAAACAAAAGGAGGTGGAGATCGGCTTGCTGAGCCTCACGGTCAGACCCCGGTGAAGGATGAAACACCCGACACCGAAACTCGGTACCTTGCCTTGTTAAGATTTTGAGGAAAGAAAGCAAGGATAGGTACCTCAACTACCCGGGTAGCAATCCGCGCTTCAGGTCTCGGATGTTCACCCTAATGCTGCTCCTCACAGCCGTCGTCGAGACGGTGTAACGTCCCACAATAACTAAGGTACCGTGTCTGGCTCTTCCCTCAAGGCCCTGGTCTGTCGGGGATTTCCAACGTTTCGAATACATTTTTCCAGATGTCCGGCAGGGGTTAAAAACTTGTTCACTAATCTGGAGTGTCGGTAAAAGATCGCATCTTGACCTTGCCAAGCCGTGACCGGTGAAAGGCGAGCCGAGAAAAGACAACAGATGTCGCTGGGTTCATTCTCACCTTCCATTAGTCAGAAACGGGTGCTTTCAAATCATCCACCTGGAAGGCGCTTCCAAATCATCGAGGCGGCCGCGCAGGGCTGACAAATGCCGCCCGCAGGCCACCCATCCACTAACTACAATAACCCCGCATTGCACGCACGCCATCACCAATGACCCCGCCAGTTCCCTCATAAACAAAATCCAACCTTTAAAATCTCCTTAACTCAAACAGAAACAACTCAACAACAACACCTACCACAACCCCCCAAAACCACCCTGCCAAACAAAACAAACCAACCCCCGCCCTCCAAAATGGCCGAAGCAGTCCAAACCATCCCCAGCCTCGAGGCCCTCGACGCGCTGACCGCGACCCACAAATACGTCATCCTCGACTTCACCGCGCAGTGGTGCCCGCCGTGCAAGGCCATCGCCCCCCTCTACCAGAAGTTGGCGACGGAGCACGCGACGGCGGGGGCCCTGGCCTTTGGCAAGGTGGACGTGGACGAGGCGCAGCCGGTCGCCGCTAAGTTCAAGATCAGCGCCATGCCCACCTTCCTGTTCCTTGTCGACGGCGAGCCCGCGGGGATCGATGTCGGCGCCCCGCTCGCCGGCAAGCAGACTGTGCTGCGCACCGAGGGGAGCGGGCCGGATGGGCCCCTGGTGGCCATTCGTGGTGCTGACCCCGCGAGCTTGGTCGGCGCGGTGAAGAAGGTCGCCGAGTTGGCGGCCGCGGCGAAAACGGAGCCGGCTCAGGTGGAGGAGGCTCAAGCGGAGGTGAGTTGACTGTTCTTTTTTTGTCTTGGTGAGGGGGTTTAGTGCGCAGGAGGCTAACGGTTTTGTTCTAGAGCGCTTAGGTGCCGACGAGTGGGACGATGGCACGGCGACTGAGAGAGGAGGCCGAGCGTCGGCCGAGGTATACCCTGCGGGAGAAAGAAGGTTGTTTAAACGCGGAACATTCTGCTCACAATGGTCAACGACATGAGTTCGAGTACCAGATCTGGGCTCTTTTTTACATTAGACAGGCAACAGGAGGCTATTGTCGATTTGCTGTTACTTACTGTACATACCAACCACTATTGCTAAATCGCTCAATCGAGAGCCACACCTCCGATTCTCGGATAGGGAGTCATAAACCTCACAGTCATTACAACACCCGCGCCATAATACGTGCGATTGATGTACCCAAGGATGTGAAGCTCACTAAACAAAAAACATTGCGCGAAAGTCGCGTTAAACCAACAAGTAAGTGTACATACATGCTATGCTAACCGTGGTATCGCCCACCAACTCCAAGCACGCGTACTCCGAATCTACCCGCTTAAAATCAAGTATAAATCCACGCCGTACATGCTTGCCAAGGGTACAAAAGCGCCGCGACGAAATGCAAACAATATGCAACTTCCACAACCAAACGCCCGCCGGCCACTCACATGGAGCTCAGCCGTCTAGCATGGGAATGCCCCTGAAACGACACTCCCTCGCCGCTCTTCTCCACTTTCCCCTGCGGCCGCCGCTGCCGTTGTGGTTGGGTCTTCTCCGCGCCACTGTTAACCGGCACCGACGGCGAATCTGAGTCATCGCCCTCGTGCAACTGAGCCTCCCCATGCGGCGGTCCACCCCCGTCCCCCTTCCCATCCGCCCTCTTACCATCCACTACACCCCCCACCGCCTCCCCGCCACCGACCTCAACTTCACCCTCTCCCTCCGCCTGAGGCCTCGACTTCGACAACGACGGCCGACCCCCCCCACCACCACCACCACCCCCTCCTGCACTGGCCCCTCCTCCACCACCACCACTACTCTTCCTCCTCGCAGCATTCCCCAACCCCCCCACACCACCCGACGACGTGCCCCCTTTAAACCGCCACCGCCCCAAATTCCAAAACGACGAGTTCCCACTTCCACTCCCACCACCGCTACCACCAACAGGCACCTGCTGCTCCGACGGGGGGTGGTTCTGCCCCTCAGCCGCCGCCGCCGCCGCCGAAGCCGAAGCCGAAGCCGAAGCCGAGTGCAGGGTAAACCCCGGCTGCGGGGGCACTGTCCGCTCCTCCTCCTCCTCCCGCTGTTTTTTATCCGACGTCGGGCGATGCTCCTTGGCCAGACGCGAGGGGATGCGCTCGGCGGCGGAGGGGCTGCTGAAAACGCTGGCGGCGGGGCTGGTCAGGGCGCTGCTGGCGCGGTTGCGCGACGCGCCGGCGTAGGGCTGCTTGCGCGCCTCGCTGGCGAGGTTGTAGGCCGAGTTGAGGGAGGTGCGGCTGGCTTTGGTGGGGCTGAGCGAGCGCTCGCTGCGCGCGGGCGTGCTGGTGCCGCCGCCGTTGGCGAGGAGCGCGGATCGTCGGTTGGTGTTGTGGTCGGCGTCGCCTTCGATGCCTTGTCGCCAGCTGAGGATGCGATCCGAGTGGATGCCTGCGGCGTGGAGTTGGGCGGCGTTGGGGATGGTGTTGGGGGGGAGGGGCTGGCTGAGGGAGCCACGCCGGCTGTGTGCGGTGCTGCCGGCGCTGGTTCGTGTTCGGACGCTTCCGCTCCGGCCGAGCCCGCCGCCGACGTAGCCGCTGCCGGCGTTGAGCTTGCGGCTGAAGGTGCTGCCCGTCTCCCAGCTCTCGTGGCGCCGCTTAGCGAAAGCGCAGTCCTGCCGGAAGACTTTAATGATCCCCGTGTCGCCTGTGGTGACGATGATGTGGCCGTCGTAGTGCGTTGACCGTGCGATGTATGCGGGGCTGAGCTCGGGTCGTTTGGAAGTTGTTTCTGTGAGTGTGATCGGCTGTGAGTCATTGGTGAGGGCAACCTGGCTGGCGGCAGCACTGGCAGCTTCCTCTAGACTCTGGAGCACCACCGGCGGCGGATTGCACAGATCGTAGATCGGGTCGCCGCTATGGCTAAGCAGCATTCTTGTTCTTGTAGGCGCAAAAAGGGCCGTGGTGACGATATCCCCATGCGCCTCAAAGTATTCGCATGGCGACTTGTCCTTATCTAGGCCTGCCGCGTCGCTCCCAGACAAGCTCCAGATGAACGTCTTCCGGTCCTCGCTACCACAAATGACGTGCTTCCCATCATCAGAAAATGTCGCTGCGATCTGGCTACACAAGTTCTCGTGCCCCTTCAGCTTGACATCAAGAGACTTATCGCGCAGGGTGTAAATCCGGATACGACTGTCATTTGATGTGATAAGCACCCGAACCTCGCCAGAGCCAACCACGTCTGTCGAAGCAACAGACGCCGCGGCCGAGCCCGGCGGTTGCGAGCTGGCGGTATCGAGTGGGTTCGGCGGTGGGATGGTCGTGGTCTGGATCCCGGTGATCTTGCTCCCCTTTGCATTCTTTCCGCGAGATGAGCGGACATGAACCTGTGAGCTTAGCTTCAACCCCTCCGTCTCGTAAAACATACACAGCCCGTTTAGCAGGCCCGCAATGGCCACCTTCCCGTCCGGAGAGAAAGCCACCGCCGTAACCAGGTCTGGCAGCTGAGCCGAAAACGCCACCGCCTTGTCGGGGATGCTCCACAGTCGGAGCATGGTATCGAGCGAACCAGCCAAGAAGAAGCGGTCGTCGCGCGGATGAAACGCTAGCCGCGTCACAAAGTCCTTGTGCTTGAAGGCGCAGAGACAGTCAGAGCGGCTCATGTGCCATAACCTGACCGTCTTGTCCATGGAGGACGACAGCAAAAAGTTGTTCTTGCTCCAGCTCAGGTCGAGCACTTCGCCAGTGTGTCCCTTAAATTCCATGACCGGTTGGTCCCTGAACACAGGCGCGCTAAGCCTCTCTCCAGCGCCCCCGTTGGTAGCCTCGTCCTCCTCATACGCATGGCGCTCCTCGGGCGTCGAGAGAACAGCCCAAACCCTCACCACATGGTCGCGGCCCGCCGTCGCGAGGAATCGGCCGTCCTTGCTGAATTCGGTTGCCCAGATGGCGCCTCCAGTCCTCATCGTCTTCCGATCGTTCACGCCGGCTACGCTGATGGACACCGTCGGCGCCTTCCCGGTCTCGGCAGCCACCTCCTCGCCGCCCTCGGGCGGCCGGGTCCCGACCAATTCCTGGGCCAGAAACATGTGGTTGAACTCGCGGGTGCGCTTGTTGCTCGGCCGGGTCCGGATGTACCGCGGCGGCCCCTTGTGGCGGGGCACATAGCCGCCGCCGATCAGGGGGCTGCCCAGCGTCTGGCTGAACACGCGCGCATTGATGCCGTCCATGGGCGCCTCGCTGCCGAGCTCCGAGTCGGAGTCTGGGTCCCCGAGGTCCTTCTTGCGCCCGCCGCGGATGTTGAGTCTGCTCAGGAACGAGCTCCCTTTCTTGCCACTGCCACCAAACGCAAAACGATCAGTCCCTTTTACGTCCTACAACTGCTCTGACGGAGGCGGGGTTCTACCTTTTGTCCTTGGGTAACTCCCCTGCCGGGATCGCATTCCTCGAGAATTCGGAGCTGGCACGGGTGAGCCCCTCGGCCATCTGGGTCAGTCGCTGGGGGATCGACGGTTCGGTGTTCTTCCGCATGAAAATGTGCTGCCCCGGTTGGTGTTAGCGAAAATCCATCTCGCCACAAATTGGCCGTCCTGCGGGGGGAGCGCCCACCTGCGACAAGGGATCGATGGCCGAGTTGGAGCTAGGCGTATGTGCCGTTCCCGAGGCCGGGTGTTGTCGAGCAATGTCCACGCTGCTGGTGGTGCCGTTGGTGGTGCCCGCAGTTGCACTCGTGGTGTTGCCGGTCTCGCCCACATCCTTGCCCTCGGCATCTCTGTCCTTGCCCCTGACTATGTCTAGAAGAACGGTACTTGTGCTATTGCGGGATAGCCTGGCCGGGCTTTTTGTCACGGGGCTTCGAGTGGATTGTGGTGTAGTCGAGGCTTGGCTCCGGTTGTTCGCTGCCGATGCATGAGCTGTTGAACGGGGGCTCGATTGGATACGACCAATACGGGGTATACGCCACGAACGGAACCGGAGAAGCTCGCAGTATCCGCGTATAGCGACCAACAGGGAACTGGGGGGTAAATGAAAATCGAGGCTTAGACATACCTCGAGCATCGAGTGAACTGGAAGGCCTTGGTAGAGAGGGTCGCGACGACGGAGGGGTACCGAGAACCCTTGGGGGCGAGGCAGACCGCGTTGTACCGGTCTCGGCCGTCTTCGCGGAGCTGTCATTTTGGTGCCCAAGCGCAGGTGCCGCCGACTTTATCGTCGACCACAAACCCGTCATGGTTTGAGCTTGTCTGACATGTGAGTCCAAACCACCAATGATCGACTGCGCAACGGCAGCCACGAAAAGTAAAGGGCAGTGGTGCAAGTCGTCCGGGTGGCTTTCGGGGTGCGAAAACCACCGACCGCCGGCGCTGGCACCGTGCTTGTGCCGGTTTCCGAGCGCTGAAGTTGATTGGTTGGCTGCGCGGTTCTTCGTCTTTGTGACGAAGCTCCGCCCCCGATCCTGCTGCACCGCTCACCGACTCGTGCGACAAAGACGTCGTCGTTGCTGGCGCGTCGCCTATGGATCACTGTCTCAACAGGAGCTGCAACCTGCCTGTGGAGGTCGAGTCGTTCGAGGCTCCTGAGCAGGGATTCCGGATGATGGAACACTGGCGCCTGTTGAAAAGCAATATCAAGGGGAAGCAGGGATACCCGGTTAGGTCATCGAAAGAGGGTGGTCGAGGTACACGGCAGCAAAGTGTTGAAGGAGCGAAGGAAGTTCGTTGACGCACTTTGCAATTTGTCCTGGCGCAATGGGAGGACAAGCAACTGTACCTTGTCCTTCCCTGCTTGGTGTCGTCTTGGTCGCATCGTTGCATCATCGAACGTGTTACGGTTCAGTAAGAATCAACCCTAACCCTCTATTCTCTTTGTGCTAGTTATGCGAAAGAAAAAAAGACATTCAAAAAATGCGAAAAATTAGAATGCGAATGCGAAAACGTGGGGTTAATTTTCATGGGCCGTACGACCCAAGACCAACCGACCATCCACAGAACTCACGGCCGCCGAGCTGTAAGCCGACTTCACATCTCGAAGAAACGCAATATGGGATACATGCCCGCCCAAAAATGGCGGCATCCCACGCCCGGTGCCACCAGCTGTAGTTAGAACCGAACTCGATCCATTTCGTAAGAGAAGGTATCGCCGTACCGTAGGAAAGGTCCTTCCGTACCATAGACCCACACGTTTTCCCATACATAACCCTAACCCCAGCCAATTTCCGCCAGAAAAGGTACATCGCGCAGGCAACCCACATTAATTCTGCCGCGATGACGTCTTTTTCCCAAGTTTCTTCAACAATCACTCACAACACCAAATCTTCGAACCAATTGCGCACCACCGCCGGGAATTGCAGCGATCCAGCAGCTACTACTCTAGAATCGCGTGAGTAAACGCTTTCGAACGCCGTAGATCTCCGCCGAAACTGACGATTTGCGCAGGAACCATGGCGCCGTACGAAGATGACCTCGAGCACTTCGACGACCTGGCCGCGCAACACCGAGGTCTTTGCCCCTGATCCATCGGCGCCTCGATCTACTGCTCCGCTGGCTACGCAGCTCCCTCAGCAGTCAACGCAGCGCCAGTCCGGCCTAGCGCCCTCGATTCGAAGAGAACCATCACAGTAGGAGCGTGTGAATCTCGACAACGACGATAGGGAGCCTTCAGCAACCCCCTCCCAGCGAAGCACCATTGTGGTGGCCACTGGAAGTACTCGAGGCCGTCGTGTCAGGGGTAAAGGCTCTAGAGGAGGCAGGGGTGGCAGCAGAGCTAGCAGTACTGCTGGAGCACCATCCTTAACGCCTCCCAGCGCTTCCGCTATGGCCCAGCGCGCACCACGGCGCGGCACGGCGCGGAACGGCGCGCGCAAGGGCATCAACACCAGGATCACGGCGCGGGGGCATCACGAAGACCACCAGAGGTAGCCGTGCCACCAGGGCTCGCCTGGCAAGTGCCTTAGAGGCTCAGGGCTTAGACCACGGCACGCAGGAGGCTCAGGGAGTCGATCAGGAAGCAGATTAGATAGCTTCAGCCAATCAGAGCATGGCATACAGGTTCGGTATCTTCGGTCAACTTTATTTTTAAAGCTTGCGCGTACTCATCCAGCCTTTCCACCTTGGTCGTGGTGGTGACAGCAACCACGTCGTTCCGCAAGATCCAACTAATGAGCACTGCGGCTTCGGTCACGCCGTGCGCCTTCGCGATGCGGACCAGCGGCTCCCGCAGAGGTCCATCAGGAGCGCGGAAGGCAGGGGTTAGCCCTTTGAACGAACCAACCTGAATCTCGTGGTCTTGCAGCCAGGCAACGTACCCATCCCCGCGCTGAAGGTAGGCGTGATACTCTATTTGGTTGGTCACAGGGGGGCTGGTGGCTCCCTTGAGCGTCGCCTCGATATGAGGCCGCATGTAGTTGCTCACTCCGATGGACCGTGCCTTGCCCGCCTTTTGGATTCCCTCCATCGTCTTCCACGCGCGCTGGAAGTCCTCTTCGGACTTGGCGAAGAAGGGGATGTGAATCAGGTATCTGCATGGCGTTAGCGGGCATGGATCTATTGATTCGACACGCAAGAGGCGCATACAAATCAAAGTAGTTGGTCTGCATCTTTTGAAGCGATTGGTCGATTGCCGCCTCGATATCGTCAATACCCTGGGCGACTTTGTTGGTGATGAACAGCTTTTCGCGGGGCACACCCGATTCCTTGATTGCGATGGCAACTTCTTCCTCAGTCCCGTACATCTCTGCACAGTCCAAATGGTAGAAGCCCTTTTCGATGACTGCTTTGGTCAGGTCGACAAGACCTTGGCCGAAGGTGGTGTCGCCGAGGTCCTGAACCAAGCTGTGCCAGTTCCATAGGCAAGCTCCAGGCCATTAGCCGACCACTACAGCCAAGCTGCGGTTCGGGTGAGCTTACCAAGGGGATTTGGTTACCATCGCGGAGCCGTAGCAAGGGAATATCCATGGCGTTTTGGGGGCTGCGGGCCTTCGCCGTGTTCACGAGTCGTTTGGTCCAATGTTGGTTTCTAGAACACCGGCAGGGGGGCGGGTTGAAAAGAGGGTTTCCAAGTCAAGTTGAGTAATGGAGAAGGGAGTCGAAGCCAAGGTTTGACACCCAACACTCGCAATTGCTTCATTCGTGTCGATTGGGGGGAGCGAAGAGTGTGATAACCTACAGGATGGAGGGGGGTGGCAGCTGGGTTGGAACGACTTGTAGTGACCTGTAGTGACTTTCCGACATCTGCGGGAGCCGTGTTGAACGGTTACAGATACGGTGAACCATGCTTCAACAAGCAATCCTGCCAATAGGTGGGAACTTGCCGTGACTGCAGCCCGCGGGGGTCAAGTGCTACCACCCACTGTATTCGTGTAACAGTTGCAGAACGCAGTTATCCTAGGATTACACGGTCACACTCAAGCCGGGCAACAAATTACGAAATGCGGCGTGCCGAAAACAGGCTGACGGAGGAATTATACAGATGAGGGAGCTGGAAGTGCGGCACCTCCAACCAGCGATGACGGGACAGGTTGTGAATGGTCGAAGCTGGTCTCAACCGAAAACGCACGATGGAAATCCGCTATCACTTCGAATATTACTACACTGAAAATGTACGGACGAACTATCCATCAACGGATGCGAAGGGAGTTGTACTACCAACCCGGAAGCAAAAGTGCATATCGTGAAGGTCGTATCTCGTCGGTGACACACGAAAAAATGCGATAGCCATGCATGTAACCGGGGATCATCACCATTTTCAATTCAAGAACGAGGCTCTTGAGGCCCGGTGGGCCGGTACTTGATGGTTGTATGTGCTCGTGCTGTCTTGCTCCCCTAGCTTTTGAGAAATATCTCAGCTTTGGATCCCAGGATTCAAGTTCCCTCTCTTTCCCTCTCAACAACTGTGACCTATCAGCCCATCAAACACAATACTAGCAACAAAGTCAACCCCACCAAACCCACCGCCATGCCGCCTGTCATCAATACGAAAACCTACCCCCTTCAGGAGGCTCTCAAGGCCTTGACGAAGAAGGCTGCCGACCCTTCTGATGTCGACTAAGGAGCGCAAGGAGCCCTGGCGTGATCTTGACAAGTTCAATTCTACCGAGGACAACGTCAGGGTCGATAAAGTTCCCGATATGCGCCTGCTTGGCAACCATGGAGACATTCATTCTTGAGCGCTCATTGTTATGCATTTACCCCCTGTACGCTTCACAGGCCGTGACAGATTGCGGATGCCCAACCTACCATGCTCAGCTTGCATCGAGACGGAATGAAGCAGTGCTCTTTTTGAAGGTAGGATACCTACTCATCCAGTACCACTGGTGACCCTCGTGTCGCTTGAGGTGCATGCCCTCTTCCACCGTGTCGTCCACAACCTTCCGAACGGCGTCGAGATCGGCGCTCGCACAAGTGCTCGACTTAATAGCAAAGGATCTGCAACTTTATTCTGGATGTGAACGCCCTAAACTCAAAGTCCGCCTCGACGTCCCTACGAAGGATCTATAAATGGAGATTTCCCCTGCACTTAAGACCTAGATACGATTGTCAACTCGCTCGCCTAGCTCGCGCAATCCAGGCCCCATGATCGCCATTTTTATAATGCCGGCCAAGGCCTAATTGATTGTCGTTATGATGGAAATCATGCCGGGATTGCATTTTTGTCCGAGTTTCACTTTAAGATTCGTCAGTGCCCAGCCTGTATAGCAATGACTTCAGTACGTCTCAGCTGGTGGGAGGTGCTCTCATGGACATCATTGACCCGGCAAGAAGACCATCTGAATTACCGTGATTCTCTGGACACTTACACCGATCTGAGATTCGCGTCAAACGACATCTGAGGTGGCAAACGATCGCGGTTCTTGGCTGCCCCTCAGACGGGCGAGAGGAAAGGATATGTCAACGTTGATTCTCCATTCGGGCATGGTTGCTCTTGGTTGTGGCCCGGACCAGTTCCGTCAGTATTCCTCGTTGGCGGAGCCGCACATGACGAAGGAGTTTGCTAATAAGAAGGGCTGGGTCGTGTTCGAAAACCTCCCTCAGGTCCATACGCGAGAGGGGATTGATCTCGCCCGGGACATCATAGGCTAAGGCCCTATAGGCCCAGTGCCTCCGGGCGAAATAAATTTCACCCATCATAGGTTACAGAGCCATGCTTGGGATACAAAGCTAGTGGGATGCGATCGGGCAGTATTCGCCTGAGAAACTAGTTGATCCACCATCGGACGGAACTAAGAATCTTACGGGCACGATTGAGGTGGAACGCACATCAACAAGCCGCTAAACTGCGGAAAGGCAAGGGGTGCCCCGGTCGTCTCGGCGCTCGGAAGTCAACCGACCGGGACAGCGCCGAGGAACACACGCAATTTCATATTACCATGTCTCCTTCGTCTGGGTCAGCTGCTACCTCTTCTTCTTCATCCTCCTCGTCGAGATCCAAAATAGGATATGTCAAGATGGCAGCGATGCCGCCCAGCGATTCTAACCGCTTACCACTTTCGTCATCGCTGCTGAGCAATCTCACCTCTCCACCGTCCTCCTTCACCTTGTCCACCAACCCGACGTATCTCTTCCTCGTAGCAACATCCATGCTCCGGAAAAAGCCGTTATTGACGAACAGCACCCCACCGCCCCGGCCAACGGCGCCCTCGGCCACCGCCTTCTCGACCGGCTTGGTACCGTACCAGGCTCTCCCGTCGTCCTTGCGCAGCCTGTCGTAAAACTGATCCATCAGGTTCGACTCGGTCGCGAACTTGGCATTCTGCACAATTTTCTTGGCCTTGGTGCTCTTGAGCACCTCGTTGAGGCTGTGCACGTGGCCGGAGGTCGACTGCACGACAACAGCCTCCCTCGCGATCTTTTGTAGCCCCTTATCTCCCGTTCTCGCGGCTTCGGACTGCATGTACGCGCGGAAATCGTCGGCCGAAAACCCGGGGCTCGCGAGCAGCAGCGTTCGGGGGATACTGAAGTCGATGTTGTTGCGCAGACTCGCCAGGGTCTTGTCGTAGAAGGCTGACATCACCCCGGACGACTCCTTGGCGGTCGAGCGCTTCTTCGGTATCGGGCTGTCGATGCGCTGCTTGAGGATCGTGCGGAACTCGGTGATCAGGCAGATGTTGGCGAGCCCCTCCTGCATGACGACCGCGGCGATGGCCTCGGGCCGGTCTTCGCTCAGCGCCTCCTTCAGTGACTGGATCGCAACCGAGTCCCAGCCGTCGCTCTTCCATATCGTAAACTTGATGTCTGCCTTCTCGTATTTGAGCGTGATGGTGTGGTGCTGTCCGACGCTGACCCAGTCGTTCTCGTTGACGACAGTGCCTGAGACCTTGAGCTCTGACGCGAGCGGGTCGAAGAAGGTCGACTTGACTTGGATCGATAGGTTTGTGCGGACATTCTTGACGACCTTGGAGCCGGTCGCCGTTGTCATCGTGACTTTGCGGAAGGCGGGTGCGTGGACGACATCTCCGTTACTGATCAGGTTGTTGGCGTGCCACATGTCCTCGGGCTCGACAATCAGCAGAGGCACGCCGGCATCCTCATCGATGGCCTCTATCGTTTGTTTTTTCGAGGCGAACCGCATTGTGCTTTGAAAGGTTCGACGTTTCCGTGCGGTTGAATGTTGGCCGGGAACGCCAGGTCCGAAGATTTGTCCTTCGAGTTTGTTGAGATTGAATGGATATGACGCAGCACCGCAGCAGTTCGGAGCGGGGCATTCCCAAGGTGGAAATGTGGGGTTGTTTCGCAAGGTCGGGAAATTCCATCTGGGACGAACCGGAAGCCGCACTTCAGATGCAGCCCAGCTTTCTCTCCTTGACCAACATGCAGCAGGTCATCGACAATGGTAATCGAATAAGACAAGCGCCTATGAATAGAAACCACATTGTTTTCCCGAGGTATCGTTCCCGTTTGGTAAAAGATCTGGAGAGAGGTGGTGGAACGTTCCACACCCACGGCATCTTGTTCAATACGTTAAGATACCCTTTTCCGGGACTCCCGGTCGGTTGGGTTTATCATTCTACATTCAAGGCCACCCGGGACCTTCCCGATGATAATGTTAAGATCAAGGAGGCCTGAACAGGAGTTTGTATGTCCCTACCTAATAAAAGACGGCAAGGACGGGCGGCTCAGCTCCAAATCCACATTCGGTAGGGCTGAGCACAGGGGTCATTCCGATGGTGGGGTAACCCGGGACGCTGGGAGCCTGGGCCAGGTTGCGGGGTAATAACGATGAACTGGCGTTTCAAAGGTAGGTGCTGGTTGTCCATATCCGTCTGGCCTCATCGAATACCCACAAACTCTTCTTCCGACTCTAGGCGCATCGCCGAGAGTCTTCACCTTGTGGCGCAGGTTCGATGGGCGAATGGCGGCCCCGGCGGTGAACAGGCGCGCTAAACACGTGGCCGATGATTTGTATCTCTGATGTTGATGTGGGCCTGGCTGCAGCTCCCGGTGCGGTGCAACCAGCGTCATTGGCGAACCATGGAGGGTTTCTTGCATGACTCTGAAAATGCATCAGTGGGGCACCACAACATCTCTCAGCCAAACATTGACTTTTGCTGGCGGTATTCCATAAGCCAACAAGCGCGCAAGCGGGCGGTGTGCATGCAGCTCCTGTGAACCCACTCGGATCGTGGGTACATGCTGTTGCCTTGCCTCAAGCTGCCTATTTTTTATTTTATTTTATTTTTTTTCCTTTTCGTCCTTGCCGTCCTACATGATCAGCAGGCGACTGCCGACCCTTTTTTCGCCTCCTCACTTTGCCGACTCTTCAACAAGGCGGTTTCCCGATACAACCATTTTCTGGCCACGCCACCGCATACCCAAGTGCCTACCTGCCTACCTGGGTGCTTTTCAGGTTGCCAGGGTACTGGACAAAATTATTTAAAGGGCGAGGTAGCTACCTCTGTGGCCCCCATCCTTCTATCTCCCGTCAGTTGGAAACTTGGAATAGTTGTCCTAGCTCCAGGATCGACCGCGATGAACAGCATACTTGCCCTCGCGGGCACATCGCTGTTGAGTGACAGAAGCGCTTCGGCTGAAGACCTAGAACAGCGCATTCCCGGCTTTTCGGTCCTGCAAGACTTCTTCAAGAAATGGCTCAAACTTGACCTCACGACACTCCTCACCGCTGCGGCGCTGATGGGCGCGGCATCTAGCGGCGCGCAGAGCCTCCAAGAGACCGGGTCCAAGCTGTACTGGTGGATTGTGCGCTTCCTGACGGCTTCCATTTCCATCGCGGGCAATGATCGGCTCAACCGCGAGGTGCTCAACTGGCTGGGCGCCCATGTGCTGTTGAAGAAGGGCACGCGCATCCTGACCGCCAACTCGGAGTCGATTCGCAACGATGCGTGGTCCTACCGCCGCGTGTCGCAAGAGCGCAACGACTTCCACCACGAGAAGCGGATGCCGGTGCAGTACCTGCCGACGTTCGGGACGACATGGTTCATCCACAAGCGGAATATCTTCATGGTGCGGCGCATCCTCACGAGCAGTTCCCATTACAACAGCGCTTGGGCCAGAACTCCAGACGAATACGCGGGGGCGCCAGAGGGTGACGAGCCGCTTGTGGTTATGTGCCTCGGTCGGTCGGTAGAGCCTATTAAGCGCTTCCTCGACACGTGTCGCATATTTGCGGATAAGCAGCGCGAGGCGTACATCACAGTCCGGATCAGCAAACGGACTTACGACGAAACGTGGGATACGACCATTCTGCGCCCTCTTCGCCCGCTCGAGACGGTCCACTTCGACGAAAAGATCAAGGCAGAGCTCGTCGCGGATATCGAGAACTACCTCGACGTCAACACGCGCAAGTTCTACAACAGGCGCGGCATTCCATACAGGCGCGGGTTCCTCCTATACGGTCCTCCTGGCACTGGAAAGACGTCACTTTCACTCGCGCTAGCAGGCAGGTTTGGGTTAGAGCTGTATTTGCTTCACATGCCAAGTGTCAATAACGATTCAACGCTTGAGAAGCTGTTCACTGCCCTCCCGCCGCGCTGCCTGGTGCTTCTCGAAGACATCGACGCCGTCGGAATCAAGCGCCGTGTTAAGAACCACGACGACCATAGCGATAGCGACAGTGACGATGACTCGGACAAGAGCGACTCCGACAGCGACATTGACCGCGGGCGATCTAGGTGCACTCTTTCGGGTCTCCTAAACGTGCTGGATGGAGTGGCTTCCCAGGAAGGCCGGATCGTGCTGATGACGTCCAACTTTGCCGAGACGCTGGACAAGGCCCTCGTTCGGCCAGGGCGAGTTGATAGGATGCTGTACCTGGGCCACATCTCGCCGCGCAGCGGCGAACTTATGTTCTTGCGAATGTTTAGCCCCGACGAGGAGGGTGCGGCCCCGGCGGACAGGGCGGTTCAACTTCCCAAGGAGGAGCTCGAGAAACTCGCGCTCAGCTTCAGCGAGTGCATTCCGAGCGAGGTGTTTACCCCAGCCCAGATTCAGGGCTATCTCTTGAATTACCGGGACTCGCCTGTTGATGCAGCGGCCAAGATGGCGGATTGGGTGAAAGAGGAACTCCGGTTGATTCAAGTGGCCAAAGAAAGGGAGAGGAAGGCCGCCGAAGCCAAGAAGAAGAAGAAGAAGGAGCAGAAGCGAAAGAAGGCGGAAAGGATGGTGAAGGCGATGCGCGAATACGACTCGGACGAGGACCTGGAAGAACTGCGACTGAGGATGAAAGAGGAGAAGAAAAAGAGGAATCGGAGCAAGAGCCAGCAAGACGGCTCGGATGTGGAGGAAAAAGCCGACAAGGGGAAAGAGATTGAGGAAAAGTCGGAGGAACTGCCCCAAAAGCCGGAGGAGAAGTCGGAGAAGAAGGTGGTGGTGGAGGAGCCAGAAGTGATGGTAGAAGGGATGCTGGAAACACCGAAGGAAGTGGAGGAGGCGCTGGAGAAGTTGAAGGAGGGGCCAAGGCCCCCCCGGAGCCAGTCACTAAACAGCATTTCATTAAGCGACGACTAGGATAAATAGCATTGTAGCGGCTAGCATGGGGGCGTTATGGAGAGGGTAGTTGGGTCTATTAACAATAGAGGCGGCGTCAATAGTTTGTTGTGGTCATTTGGTTATATTAGACGGGAATAACGAAAGCTTGATGACTCTACATTGCTCAATCATGTTTACGATTAAGTTGTGAACGAGGACTGAGGAACAGTATTAAGTAGAGTGGGAAATGGTGAGTTACCCCTATCATCCTGTCACGTCATGCAATAGTTAATGGTAGTGTGGAAACTCCGATGCCTGGGGCTAGGGCATCCCATCTTCTGGGTCTTCCTGCCCGCCACAAACGCAAATATACTGAACGCACTTTCCTGTACTGCTGCCATCAATGCTAAACTTGGTAGGTACCTACCTTCTCTTTTCTTAGCTGGCTGCGAGACGCGTGGTATCCATAAAGAAACTGAATCGGCAAACCGACTGCAAACTCCAACACAATAGAGTTACTCTCGAGGTATCCCATCTCGACTAGTCGCCACAACCCACATCATAGACACGGCTTCACAGTACGAGCATATTAACCCGCATCTTTTTCCAGCTCGACCGGGTGACGTCCCCTGAGTTCAAGCATTCATTTCCAAAATGGACAGTCATGGGGGCCTAGATCCACCCGAGATGGAATTTGATAGCTGGGGCGATTCCAGAACATCAAATGATCGTCCATTTGGGACCCAACGCCGGGACTGTCTTGGACTCGCTCATGGCGATATGCTTGGATTCCCATTTTCGGATTATAGCTCAATCTCACGAGAATCCCAGCAAGCAAGGCGGGATTCTCGCCCGTCCCTGGGCACGGTAACCCAACCGGACATCACCGCTGTCGCCCCCCTAGAAAACCTCAAACAACGGATCGAGAAGTCGTACAATGCCATTGCGCTGTCATACAAGCGATGGACGGTGATGTACCGGGGCCAGCGCTTCAACTACGCAATCAAGCTGATCAAGCTACTCAAGAAAGAGCAAGTACGCAGGAACAAGGCTAAGGAAACTGGCGGAGATACCGCGAGGCGCTCAAAGGACGTGGATACCACAGCGCACACCGGAGAGCATTCAAAGCAAACGGCTGCCTCGGTTTCTCAGCCTGTGGAAAGCCCTCAGGAAGCAGAGTCTGCCCCGGTGAGCCCGGTGCGCGAGATCGCAGGCTACGAAAAGGCTAAGCGCTCCGATCGGACAGCGAGCGGGGCCCACGGCAAACAGAAAGATACCAGCGACACGCAACGACAGGAGCCGTCACTCCTCGCTGAGGCCGGCATCACCCTCGTCCGGCTGAATAAAATGCGGGCGCTCGAGGTGGGGTGCGGCGACGGGACCCCGGTCGTCGAGATTCTCCTCTCTGAGGAGATGCGCGTGATCGGCGTGGACATCTCCGAGACCCAGATCGCGCGCTGTCGCGCCCATTTCCCCAACCATACACAGGCCCACCAGGCGTCGTGGAATGCACCAGGAACATGATGGAGCTGCGGTTCCCCGTGAGAAGAAGTTCGATAGCGTCATCGCCCTGTACTGCCTGCTGCATCTGCCGCGCGAAGGAGCAAGCCCTCTTTCTGAACGAGAGCAGACGAAGTGATTGAGGCCTAGTGGGTTTCTCTTGTTCAACTTTCCGCAGGAGGAGATCGGGGGGGAGGTGGAGGAGCGCTGGTTGGGGTTGGAGGAGGGCTGGGTGTACCGGAGCAGCTGGGGAGAGGAGAAGATGATGAAGTTCGTCGAGGGTCTGGACGAGATGGAGGTGGTGGTGAAGGAGGTCACCGAGGCCGAGGCTAGAGGCGCCGACCCCAAGTTTGTGTGGGTGATTGCGCAGAAGAGCATTTGGAGTAACAGTATGGCATGGCCCATACCTATGGGGGAAGGCGGCCTTACCGCATAAGACGGAGGACGAGCATCGCTAATATTATTATTATTTCTCTTATCACGCTAGGTACTAAGTATATGCGGTCCCTCAGCGATTAACTCGGTACGAAAAACCATGCCTAAGCTGGATGAAAACCTCCGCACCTCCGCTGCGGCCTTGCCGCTACCCCGTGGATCCATCTCCTCGAAAGGGCTCACCCACCTTCCGAGGTCAAAGTAACGAAATAGATAAAATGAGTCGTAACCTCTGTTCCATCGATGCCCTTCTGCTACTCCGCTTCGGCCCTGAGCATCGCTAATAGTTTGGTCGATCGGTTGAGAAAATACCTATTACTATTCCTACCTTACTTGCAAGTTGTAACTAGCGTTGGTCGTTGGCTGGATCGGGATTCGCACAAAGCGAACACCGTCTCCCACGTGTCCCGGCGATCTTGTAGAGTATCTCGTCGCCTCATTCTCATGAAACCTGTGATCGGCAGGCAGGGATGGATGCCTAACAGTAATCAACCTCGTTAACATTAGTTTTCCCGTGTCCGATGGCGCATTTGCACGTAAGATCTCCGAGGCTCCGTTTCGCGGGCCCGGCAGTTGTTTGAATCCCGGTCGTCGGTCCGCTCGGCGCTAGTATAGCGTCGGAACGATCCGGAGCCGGGGCCCGCGGGTCTGGTAGGACTGCAGGGCTACACCAACGTGGGTGATGGGTGCCTCATTGTTCACGGGCGCTTTGTTAGTTTCCTTACCAACACGAGGGAAAAATTAATTTTACGAAGAAACTACATGTTTGTCTTGTTTATTCTACCCTTGCCGAGTCCTTCTCATCAGTTTTTAATGATACGAAAGACAGTGTAGATGGGGGTTTGGCAACATGTGAAGAGCAGACCAGGGACAGGAAAAACTTCTGGACTTCATGCGACCTTGAGACGATGATGTCGACATATTGTTGAGCCTGACATGTGAAAATCTAGCAACGTGGGTCTTCTATTGGCCGTGCTTCGAGGCGGTTTTACATGTCTCCGTCGGGGAACTCGAAGAACAGAATTAGCCCGGCTGGGTCCTTACATGTACGCGGAAACGGCTGACCTTGGAGCAGAAAGGTCCACCGCTCACCCGCGGGACCCGAGTAAGCCGAGTTCGACGGCTCGATAGGTACCTAAGTACCTAAGATAGCCATCCTGGCCCTATAAATCTCGTTTAGATATCGGTTTCTAATTTCGAACGCGTCACGGCGTGGCATGCGGTGCCAACAAGCATTTCACGTCGTACAGTTGCCGCGGCGGGTTGTTGCCGTTCTTAACCTCCAACATGCGTGGCGGAGTTGGTCCGACCTCACCAATGGTAGGTGGGTCCCGCCGTTAGGCTAGCGGATTAATCCCGACATCGTGAAAACTTCGAAAATAGACCAATGGAATAACACTGGTGAGATTGCTAGTCGGAAACGAGCCGAGGGATCTCGGCCTTCAAGATGCGAATTGATCACGACTCCACTGCGGTATTCGGTATTGGAAACCGACCGAGAGTGAAAATGTGGTTTAAAAGCGAGAAGTGGTATTGTATATATGTCAGTCCCCTTCAATTGCTCCACGAGCCAGAACAACAACCCCCCTGGTTTCGATGTTACGGCACACCAGCATCACCATCCACTCTTCACCATGCCGGGACACGAACACCAGGCCCCTGACGAGCAGGTGGATACAGGTGTTGCAACGGGGACCACCAACAGCAGCCTGAGCGACCATGATGCCAGTTCGGCCACGATAGGAGATAACGATACTTCTAGGGGAGGCACAACTAGCCCCCTAGACGAGGAAGGCGTCACAACAGAGCTTCAGCAGATTGCTACGGCGCTTTCGCGGCACCAGACTCAGGGAAGGGATGCGCCAGCTGCAGCTTACTCGGATCCCGGTTTGGATCCCCAGTCGGCAGACTTTAACGTAAGGAGATGGGTCCAACATTTTATGGCCCAAGTCAACGCGCAGGGGAACAAGGCGAGCGAACTGAGCGCCCTCTTCAAAGACCTGAACGTCTATGGATCCGGTTCTGCTCTGCAACTCCAAGAGACAGTTGACTCGGTTCTCCTAGCGCCACTCCGGGTTGGCGAGCTCTTTTCTGGGAAGAAAGAGCATAGGCACATTCTTCGCGGCTTCAACGGCCTCGTCAAAAGCGGCGAGCTGTTGGCAGTGCTGGGCCGACCGGGCTCGGGTTGCAGTACCTTTCTCAAGGCTATTTGCGGCGAACTAAACGGCTTAACCTTAAGCAAAGAGTCAACAATCCACTACAATGGAGCGTCACAAACCCAGATGCAGAAGGAGTTTAAGGGGGAAGTGATCTACAACCAAGAGGTATGCCGCCCCCTGAATTTGATGGCATTGACTCAGGGCTGGAAGAGTGCAAGCACTGACATAAAAACAAACAGGTCGACAAGCACTTCCCCCATCTCACCGTCGGGCAAACCCTCGAGTTCGCTGCCGGCATGCGCACTCCCTCGCAGCGCGTCGAAGACATGCCTCGCTCCGAGTACTACCAATACATCGCTCGCGTAGTGATGGCCATCTTCGGGCTCTCCCACACCTACCACACCAAAGTCGGCGACGACTACGTCCGCGGCGTGTCGGGCGGCGAGCGCAAGCGGGTCAGCATCGCCGAGATGATGGTAGCCGGGTCGCCGATCTGCGCGTGGGACAACAGCACGCGCGGGCTCGACTCGTCCAGCGCGCTCAAGTTCGTGCAGGCCCTGCGCCTGTCGTCCGACCTCGGCCGGCACGCCCACGCCGTCGCCATGTACCAGGCCAGCCAGGCCATCTACGACGTCTTCGACAAGGCCACTGTCCTCTACGCCGGCCGCCAGATCTACTTCGGCCCGGCGCACGCCGCAAAGGCCTTCTTCGAACAGCAGGGCTGGCACTGCCCCCCGCGCCAAACCACCGGCGACTTCCTCACCTCCGTCACCAACCCGGACGAGCGGACCCCGCGGCCGGGGATGGAGCACAAAGTCCCGCGCACCCCGGAAGAATTCGAGCGGTACTGGCTCGCCTCGCCGGAGTTCGCCGCGCTGCAGGCCGACATGGTGCAGCACGACGCGGCGTTCTCGGGCGAGGGCCGGGCGGCGAGCATCGCGGCGCTGCGCGCGAAGAAGCAGCACTGCCAGGGCAAGCACGCGCGGCCCGGGTCGCCGTACCGGCTGAGTGTGGCCATGCAGGTGCGCCTTAATACGAAGAGGGCGTATCGCCGGGTGTGGAATAACTTGCCGGCGACGGCGACGAATATCGGGTCGAATTTGATTCTGGCGCTGATTATTGGGTCGATCTTTTTTGGGAATCCGGATGCGACTGTTGGGTTTGAGGGGAAGGGGTCGGTGCTGTTTATGGCGATTCTGCTGAATGCGCTGACGGCGATTGCGGAGATTGATAGCTTGTACGCGCAGAGGCCGATCGTGGAGAAGCATGCGTCGTATGCGTTTTATCATCCTGCTACGGAGGCGGCGGCGGGGATTGTCGCGGATATACCGGTAAAGTTTGCGTCGGCGGTGGTGTTCAACTTGATCGTGTACTTTCTGGCTGGGCTGAGACGGACGCCGGATCAGTTCTTCTTGTTCTTTCTGGTTTCGTTTGTGGCGACGTTTGTGATGAGCGCCGTGTTCAGGACGCTGGCGGCTATTACCAAGACGGTGTCGCAGGCGATGGCGCTGGCAGGTGTGTTGGTGTTGGCATTGGTCATGTACACCGGCTACATGTAAGTGTTCCATGCCCAACCATAGAGGTAACCTTGGGGGAAAAGGGGGTTCGATTGCTAACACATTCATAGCATCCCCGTACCGCAGATGCACCCCTGGTTCAGCTGGATCAGATGGCTAAACCCGATTTACTACGCCTTCGAGATCCTCATTGCCAACGAGTTTCACGGCCGCGAGTTCACCTGCTCCGCCATCATCCCTCCTTACTCCCCCCTCATCGGCGACTCCTGGATCTGCGCCAGCGTGGGTGCCGTGGCCGGCCGGCGCACCGTCAGCGGTGATTCTTACATCGCCGCCATGTATGGCTACGAATACTCGCATGTCTGGCGCAACTTTGGCATCCTCATCGCGTTTCTTGTCGGTTTCATGGCCATCTACCTGGCGGCGGTGGAGTTGAACTCGTCTGTCACCAGCACCGCCGAGGCCTTGGTATTCCCGAGATGGGACATCCCCGCGCATCTGGACCCTAAGCGCAAGGGCAACGACGAGGAAACAAGCGCACCAACTTCCGGGACGGACGTAGAACATGCCCCCCAGGACCCCAATGGTGGCAGCATTGAGCCGCAAAGGGACGTCTTTACCTGGAAGGATGTTTCCTATGACATTAACATCAAAGAAGGCAAGCGCCGGTTGCTTGACAACGTGTCCGGGTGGGTTAAGCCCGGCACCCTGACGGCGTTGATGGGCGCTTCAGGGGCCGGCAAGACGACATTGTTGGATGTGCTCGCGCAGCGGAAATCCGTCGGTGTTGTGACAGGCGATATGCTAGTAAGCGGTCGGCCTTTTGGAGCGGATTTCCAGCGCCAGACTGGTTATGTGCAGCAACAGGGTGAGTTTCGGCGCTTCCTATTTTCTCAGTTTTGTGCAGCTCATTGTTGACGCCTCCCAGATCTTCACCTCGACACCGCCACGGTCAGGGAGAGTCTCCGATTTAGCGCCATGCTCCGCCGGCCCAAGTCAGTCAGCAAGAAGGAAAAGTTCGAGTTCGTTGAGGAGGTCATCAAGATGCTCGGCATGGAGGAATATGCCAATGCCATCGTTGGTATCCCGGGCGAAGGCCTCAACGTCGAGCAGCGCAAGCTCCTGACCATCGGCGTGGAACTCGTCGCCAAACCCAAACTTCTGCTGTTTCTTGACGAACCTACCAGCGGTCTTGATTCACAGAGTGCCTGGGCCATCTGCGTTTTCCTCCGCAAGCTGGCAGATGCAGGACAAGCCGTGTTGTGCACGATCCACCAACCGAATGCCCTTCTCTTCCAGCAGTTTGATCGCTTACTCTTTCTCGCCAAGGGGGGCAAGACGGTATACTTCGGGGATATTGGCAAGAACTCGGAATCTCTGCTCGGTTATTTCGAGAAGAACGGGTCACGCCCTTGTGGCGAGGATGAGAATCCCGCCGAGTTTATGCTGGAGATAGTTGCCGAGGGTGTCAACCGCGACGGCGAAGATTGGCACTCGGTATGGAAGGGGAGCCAGGAATACAGCGGGGTCCGGACCGAGCTTGAGAGGATACACGAGCAAGGCAAGGAAAAGCAAGCAATCGACAGTGGCGACAGCAAGGGCGCCGCTTCCGAGTTTGCCATGCCTTTCTCCTCCCAAGTGCGGGCTGTCACCCAGCGCATCTTCCAACAGTACTGGCGGATGCCTGGTTATGTCCTTTCCAAGCTTCTGTTGGGTATCATGTCGGGCCTGTTTATCGGCTTCACCTTCTGGAAGGCCGAAGAGACACAGGCTGGCATGCGGAATGTTGTGTTCTCCGTCTTTATGGTGACTACCATCTTCACCACGCTAGTTCAGCAGGTATGTTTTTATCACAGCCTTCCTGGCGTGCCACTGAGTTCATTAATGCTAACACCCCCAGATCCAACCGCTCTTCATCACGCAACGCTCCCTTTACGAAGTTCGCGAGCGCCCAAGCAAGGCTTACTCCTGGAAAGCCTTCCTCATTGCCAACATCGTCGTCGAAATTCCCTACCAGATCCTCACCGGCATCCTCGCCTTCGCCTCCTTTTATTACCCAGTCGTCGGGATACAAGCCTCGGCCCGCCAGGGCCTGGTCCTACTCTTCATCATCCAGCTCTTCATCTACGCCAGCGCCTTCGCCCACATGACTATCGCCGCGCTCCCCGACGCCCAAGCCGCGGCAGGGATCGTCATCCTGCTCACCATGATGTCAACCATCTTCAGCGGCGTGCTCCAGACCAAGGTCGCGCTGCCCGGGTTCTGGACATTCATGTACTACGTGTCGCCGTTCACGTACTGGATCTCGGGCATCGTATCGACGGTGCTGCACGACCGGCCCGTGGTGTGCTCTGCCGCTGAGAATCTGGTCTTCAACCCGCCGCCGAATACCACGTGCGGCGAGTACCTGATGCCGCTGGCGGACGTGGCGCATGGGACGCTCCAGAACCCGTATGATACTGAGGCGTGTCGGTACTGTGCCTTTTCTGTGGCGGATCAGTACTTGGGAAGCGTGGATATCTTCTGGGATGATCGGTGGAGGAACTTTGGGATCATGTGGGGGTACATTATTTTTGATATCGCGGTTGTGATTGGGGTGTATTATTTGTTCCGGGTTAAAGGCATGGGGATTCGGGGGTTGTCCAAGAAGACCAAGAAGAGCTAATGGGGCTTGGGGGCGAGCATTTGGGGGACAATGGGTAAAGGGGTTGATGATTAGACTAAGGTAAACAATATTCGATACTCCCGATAGATCATGGAATTAACTAATTGTTTTGTTGTTTCTATCGAATTGCCTACATGAACTCACACTCTCAAACTTTTTGGAACCATCGTAACCCAGACGGCAGTTGACCCCCATACAACCCTGCCTGCGGTAGCTACGGTCCCTCCATTCTCCAAAGGAAGGGACGGGCCCCCGAGCGCTAGAGGTCCAATGCCTCCTTCCCGGTACAACAATAAAAGACTGGCAGATTCAACTTGAAGAAGCAGTCTTCCCCCCCCCCCCCCTCCCCGCCACAGAACGCGACTGAAGAAAAGAACGGCTCGTTATCTCAAAGTAGTTTCTCAATAATGGCATTAACACTGTACAAATACCCCGGCATCAACCTACCACTATGGCATCTCACGCAGAATTACGACGCCATGGGGGCTGGTGTCAAATTCTACCGCTACGGTTCTTTCGAGGGCGCCGATGGTTGCCTCTCGGAGCTTATCCAAGTCCGTGAAGTCGCCATGCTTTTACTTATGGATCGCCTCACGGACAAACCCGACTGGAACACGAAGTTGTTTGACGACAGCATTGTCGCCGACTGGCGCCGCGAGACTCTGACGCAGAATGAAACAGATCTCTACAAGGAAATCGTCGCAGACCATATCCGTGTTCCCATGCCGAAACGTACGAGAATCATCAACGAGGCTGCGTTCGATTATGTCAGTAACCATCAAGGCAGCATCTGTCGTGGCAATTCCCTATGTCTGTACTGACTGTCGTCTTATTTTCGTAGTGCATCGCCGAGTTGAAGTGCAAGGCAGCTCACTTCAAAGAAACCGGCCTCATATTCACTCTCAACTCGTCCCAAGGCACCGCCGAGGTTCCCTGCTTTAACACGGCCGTCAAGGCAGACAGCCTAGTAACCAAGGAGCTCCAAACGGGCCTAAAGGTTGCATTCGAAAAGCTCCGCGCCGAGCAGGCCGCTGAACCCAACTGGCATCCAGGAAGCCAGGGTAGGGTCCAGGACCTTGTCCACCCTTCCATGTATCCCTTCGTTTATGGTACGCATCCCTCCACCCTCAATATCCCTTTTTAGCGCTGTTAACAGACGGCAGGGGAAAGCAAAGTCATCCCAGAGGAAGTTGTAGGGGTGGCCGATGCTGTCGATAGGTGGTCTGGGAAGGGTGAACCGGTACAACCGCTGCTGGAGGGAGACGATGAAGATGAGACGGTTATCTACCGTAACTTTTGGTCGGAAACCTATCAGTGGCTTCCTGCTAACCTGGCATTCCAGGAGAACGGCTCCGTTCGCTTCACCAGCTACATTAACAACCTCCACCCCCAAAAGCACGCCGGCACTTACCAACTCCTCGAGAAGCTCATTGAAACCGTCATTCCGGCGTGGGAGAGCGTTCTCAGCGGCAAGGCCACCACTGATTCATCTGATGCGCCGGACCGTTTAAAGTATCCTCCTCCAGTAAAGTAATTTCTTGTGGTCTCCTGGTCCCTAAGTCACATTAAAACAGTAGAGTTGGCTGACGCTATTAATTACCAGCCGAAGCAACGAAAACGATGTCTGGGGAGAGGTGAACCCGGATGTTATCGCTGAATACGAGGAGAAACACGGCGGTATCGACGTGGGCGATATCCCACGATATAGCGATGAAGATTCCGATGATCTTGAGAGTCTCGAGAGGGATAGTCCACTGCTCAAGTGGGGAAGTTTGAGAGACCCTATTCTAATGGAGCCATTAAAATTCGAGCCTTACACCTACACGGTTGAGCAAAGACTCCGAGGGCGGTTCAAAGAGACTGGTTTGCAGGTCATCGTCAAGATGGCTTCGATTGAGCTGACTCCCGAAAAGCCCAGATTCCCTAAGAGTGACTGGCACGTAAGTCTGCATAGCACACACCACGTCGTATGCCGAGGAAGGTGTGGTCCTAACAACAGCAATTAGATTGAGGGCCAAATGAACGAGCATATCGTGGCGATAGCGCTGTACTATCTCGACTCCTCGAACGTGACGCCAGGTAGAATATTATTCCGCATGGCTACCAGCCCCGACCAGGAGAACTTGCGATCTCAGGTCACCTTCGGCATGCATGAATTTTACGAGCGCATCTACGGCACCACGCTTAGGGCCGAGGTTGACAAAGAATGCGTTCAGCCTTACGGTAGCGTTGCGACGCCCGAAGGGCGGCTGCTGGCGTTCCCCAATGTTTTGTAAGTTTGTTCACCCACCTAGTTACTTATCGACTTATACCGAGCACCATGATTAACAACGGCCGACTTTGCTCCAGTCAACGCCGGGTCTCTTCTTTCAGCCTGCAAGACCGAACCAAGCCCGGTCACTGCCGCTTCGTCGCTCTGTGGCTCGTCGACCCATTCCAGCGCATTATCTCGACCGCCAACGTGCCGCCCCAGCGGTTTGACTGGTGGGCCGAGGCCGTCTTCGGTAGCGAGCCCAAAGACATAGGCGACATGCCGCCCGAAGTGTTCCAAATACTACTCGAGCAGGGGGCCGCCGAGGCCATCAAACCGCCAAAGGAACTGCTACAGAGCCTGAAAAACAAGTTGCCGGCGGAGCTCATGGAGATGGTGCGGCGAGCGGCCGGTCCGGCGGGTCTGATGACGACTGAACAGGCACGTCAACACCGGAAAGCGTTGATGGAAGAAAGAATTGGCTTTGCGGAAGCTGTCAAGGAAAGAACTTGGACAAACACATATGCCTTCTGAGAGCATTAATGATGGACTCATTGCTGTCGTTGGCTATTTCCTTTTCTACCAGCGGCTACGATTCCCACCGGTTTTGCTCCTTTTCACTCTTTCTACGCCGCACAACTACCTTGAACACGTACCGCTCATGACTTTTATTGTTTTCTCATCTCAAGTTAGACCCAAAGGTGGCTTTACAAGCCTACCTAGAATTAGAAATAGAAACAGAGCTAACACACTTGAGACACCTGAGCTCCGTAAACTTATCTCCCCCATTTGCTCACTCAACAACCCCCCCTACCTACATGTATCATCCCCCTCCATCCCCCACTCCTCACACCCACTGGTACACACTCAACCGGTTCGACCCACCGCACACCTCACCCGCCGCCCCGGAGCAGGGCATCGCACAATCCTCCTCGGCCGCCAACGTGCTGTTCACACTCAACTCACTTCCGCAGTAACACTCGGCACTATACTCCAGCCCAAACCACGTAAACCCACTATCCCTGCAATACCCACCGCAACCACCCACCGTCATATCCGTCAGCGAGAACCCGCTCGCCCCCGCCAGCGCCCGCGCCCCCTCCGTCACCTCCGTGTAGCACCCCTCGTACTGGGTCGTGGTCACGGGCGGGTCGTGAGGGTAAGGGAGGGATTCGGGCGCCGTCTCGGAGGTTCCGTACAAAGAGAGCCGGTTGGGACCGCCGCAGACCGAGGTCAGCGTCGCGTCGCCCGGGCAGGGCATCGTGCAGTCGGTGGAAAAGGCGGGGAAGGAGCCTTGCGCGAGGGAGTTGCCGCAGTAGCTGGGGGGTGGGGTGTTAGTTGGGGGTTGGTTGGGATTTGGGAGGAGGGCGGATGGGGAGGGAGAAAGGAAGGGGAGTGTGGAAAAGAGGGATGGATCATGGGAGGATGGGGACATACCACTCGCCGCCGTACTCCAGACCCCAGAGGTCAAAGCCCGTACAGTGGGCCTCGCAGTCGGCGAGAGTCATGGCCTCATAGTCGATGAGGGGGACGGCCCCGGTGAGCGCCCGGGTGGGGATCTCGGTGTAGCAGCCGTAGTAGGTTTGCGCGAGGGCGGCGGGCACGATGGCCGCGAGGACGAGGACGGATTGCATTTTGAAGGGGGAGGGCTGATCTTATGTCTTGGTAGACAATTGGGTGAAGTGAGATGAAGTTGATGATGAGATGGGCAATGGAGATGGCAACATCGGGGAGAGAAGCAATATTTATACCTGATGAACCTCCCAATATCTTGCCGGTCTCGCAACTTTACCCATACCTATCCCAGAAAGAAGTCCGTGGCGTTCACGAAGGCATCTATCTCTAGTGCCACCGTGACATGGCCTCTCGCTTCTTCCTGATCCCACTCTGCACTGACACACACTCAACTTGGCGATGAAACAGTGCGGGTTGAACACCAACAAACCCCTGGTCTGAATCCAGAACCACCAACCCGGAGGTCCTCCGCGAGAGCGGGCACCGGGTGGCTGCATGCTCGGTCTGCATATGCGTGGTTTGGATATCACATGCAACCATTGAAGTCTGCGCGGAGACTAGTGGAACGGGGACAAAACCCGAGGAGCGGGGAGTAAATCAATTTGGGAGGCGTGACATCAGATCAAACTATTGGTTTGTCGAGCAGAGCCTCAGAGCAAAATAACCCAAAAGGTCTCGCCCATAAGCCACCGTACCACGGTATTTCCCGTTGTGGAGGGCCAAGAGATCTGGTGCGGAGGTATTGGAAGAGGCCTTGTGTCTCCGATGACGGGACGCAAGTCAGATGCCTTGCAAGCCAGACTCCGATTCGCCAAAGAAGTCGCGCGAACTGCCCTGCAGCTGCGGGCGGTTCCGTCAGGGGTAAGCTGTCGGCCGTCGGACTACACAACCGGTCTTGCCGCTAACTCGCCGAGTTTCCGTTCCTGCATTCTTGGGCACGCCGAGGGAAGAGGAGACATATTGTGACCGATAGAACCCGGATCCAATAGACTACGCCACAACGTAACTTGGCCGAGTTGGCCCGGACCAAAAACAACGCCCAGGTCTGCAGCTGGAAGTCATCGGACGGTCTGATGATACAGCTGAACTGAAGTCACTATGAGAAGGTTACATGGCACGCATTTCAGCTTGTTATCGGGGAGATAGAGTTGCAATGATACCCGCGAGAACACCCAAAAATCAATATCAAGTTCCCTTCACTCAACAGCCAAGGCCCCCAGAACCAAACTCGGAGGCCCAGCCATTTTACGACCCCCTGCTGCAATCCTTCGGGACCGGGCCAGGGGGCAAAATCAGCCACATGCAGGGCAGGGGAGAAGCCGTCCTTTCCGCCTCGTTTTATTTTCTGCCCTCACACAACAACATCAGATAGCCCCACTGGGAGCCTGCACACAGTGGCCGAGAACCAGGTAAACCATCAGTTCCCGCCCTCCCCTGCGGGGTTGCAGATGCGGCTCGATCTGGGCACTCTCAAGTCAGCGAACAATGTAACCCGGCTCCAATATTAACCGCTCGAGCGGGAAGGTGAGGGCGGTATCCTGTCAATCAGTGCAGTAGCGAGGAGATCGAGAACGATCAAGATGGTCTAGAAACGCCCCGAGCTGAACTCATTGCCACGGTAGGTCGTAATGGCCGAGCCCTCGTATCTGCCACCGAGCCCACCGTCCCGGTCATTGTCGACGCACCTAGTGCGGTTTGGTTCTACGTGGCAACCACTCCGCATTGCATACAAGCTAGAATATGCACCCGGTCAATAAAACGTTTTATTGATGAAAGATTCAGGTGTCCTTCCGGGCGGGTCGAGGTTGTATGAGTGACAGAAATAGAACGCTCCGATTACCCCTACCACTTTGACCCTCTTCCCGGACCGCCAGCCCGGTTCCCAAAAGAGTCAAACCCGAAGGCTGGAAGTTCGAATTACAGAGTCCGAGAAGAAATATTTGCAAGACCCGATGGGTCCGAGGTTAAATACTTGACTTGAAGACCTGAGTCTAGACCCTGGCCGGCCCCCTGGATGCGGGCAATGCAGCAACCAGTCGATGCGTTTAGGAAATGATAATGAACGAATTCGAGTGTTTTTCGGCCCACCACGTTCAGGAATCTAGCCACCGAACGTGGGGGTATGTTTATTCATACTGTTTGGCGTCTTTCAAGTCTCACAATGCTTTGTCATTTTATTACCGTGGTGTGTGTAGGGGAAAATACATGTACCTAGTTTCCCCTAATGTCATGCTTGAAACACGTGAACATCATCGTAGAATCCATGATCATACTGCTAGGGTACCATGAACTCTTTGTAACGACATCCTCAATTGATATTAAAGAAGGTAACGTAAGAATGCAAAAATTGGGAGTATGCTGTGATGTAAGGGTGGACGAGACGACTACAAACCCAAAGCTTTACTCGTCATCCAACTAAGCCTCCCCTGTAATATTATAACAGGCCCAAGCTGCCGGGACAGGGCCCGCTACCTCGCTTCCATCATTAAGCTTTGTGAAGGTATCTGGTACCGTGAAAGCAAGTCCTCTGGTCGGTTGCTACGCCGTGGCCTGTGCTTCCCAAACAACCATCGCAACTTGTCAGCCGAGTTCCAGTACACTGTCAGGTGGCGCGTCACAATGGGTTACGGTAGTTGCAGCCCCGGCAGTGGCCCCCCTTACTCGCCGTCCCGACACCACTCCAGACATTCTTGCATCGGGGCTCGGGTCCCCGAGATCGGTTCTGGACGTGGCTGGTGAGTGGCTGGGTATGGGCCGACGCCGCGATGGGAGGCTGGGGGAGGAGCGTAAAACAGGCGTGTGTTGGCAGACTATGCAGATACGTAAGGCGGGTGGCGTAACCGGTGATGCCCCAGCCACGCTGCCAACCTCAGAGAAGGACGATAGAGGTTGGCCTGCGTCCAGGTGAATCTCAGCTATACCTAGCACCCCCGGTCGATATGAAGTCTAAAGTTTAACTCTAAGCAGAAGCCGTAAGTCCCAGACATCCAGTACCTTAACGAACAAGCGAACTGCTAGTGAAACCTTGGCCCCTGCTAATAGCACATTTGCGGTTATGGCAACGCACGTGCAGATGGTAGCATTTGACGGCCGACACACCAGAGACAAGTTGTTTCTTCTTAGGTTTTAATATAAACATCGTATCCCACTATTAGAAACCTACTAAGCACAGCACTTGCAACAGTATGAAAGAAAATTTTCAGATACAAAACGGAAACCTTCTGCATGTAATTTCAAACTTAAACATGAAAGCCATTCACATCGATCCCATAGTAGTCGGCAGCAGCGTTGCAGAGGGCAGCTGGGTGCCGCTGCTACTGGCTCCCGGACCGCCCACTCCAATACACACCGGGCGCTCGTCAATCTCAGTCAGGTTGGCAAAGCTTGTCACAATTTTCCTCGGAGCCCACCCAGGGGTTCCAGCTGACGAGGTCTTTCATCGTGAGATTCTGGTCGAGGGCAATATCTTCGCAAAGGTAAACTGTCCCGAAGATAGTTTCGTCAGCCACCGGGGTCTCATCATGCTTTCAGGGGGTAATTCATCGCTATATGCGGGCACTTACAGCCAGCGTCGGAGCCTATAATGGTAGTGAAACAAGAACAAGACGGCACAGTACCGGGATACGGTTTTGCAACCTCGGTACACGGGCGGTTCCCCGGCGATTCTTCGTCTTCTATTCGGAGAGTCAAATCAGCGCAAGTGTCACCTCCCCCCATTGTTCTGGGAGATCTCACCAGTCGAGTTGGTAGCACAGTACCGGAATCCTTCTTGCAGCCGACAAGGGTCCACCTTCTTCAGACTCGGATTCCAGGTGAGGAAATTCTCGAGAAAGACCCCAAACGACGCGCTCACAAAGTCGCAATTGTTGATGGTGTTGGTGAAAGCAGGCACGTCCCTCTGCTGAGACTGGTCCCTCTGAGGAACAACCGCCCTGTAATTGGCAAACTCGACACAGCCCTGTTCCTCGGTAAGCGAGTCCGGAGCGAGGGGCAGCTCCACGATGGGCGTGGCAATGGGCTTGACCGTGTCGATCGATTCCACTGTGGTGGTCCGGTAGTTGGAGGAGGTGAGCGTGTAGATGGGCGAGGTGGAATAGGGGTAGTCACGGTAGGTGTTGATGTCACCGACCGCCTTGACGCAGTACGATGTCTCGAGCCAGAGGTTCTGGCAGTCGGTGCTGTTGATGGATGGGTTGAGGAAGAAGAAGTCTCGCAGCGAGATGCTCTGGCGGATCGAGATGGCTTCGCAGTAGTCTCCCGTCTGGATCTCGTACCAATGCGCGCACCGCATGTTTGAGTCATTTTTGGCGTTTGTGGGAACAGGAACTGCGGTTGGGGGTGCTTGCGTTGTTGTTGGTGAGAGGATCACGGTTGTGACTTGGTCCAGTGTTTTCCCAGGGGGGCTGTAAAACAGAGCAAAAAAGTCAGCGGGCAGCGCATCGCAAACGGGAAACCACGGCTGGATATGCCTTGCCTGATGCAGAGGAGTGTCTCAACCATGGTATAAAGGTTGGTGCACACAGAGTTGATATTCGGATTCCAACTAAGCAAATCACTGGCTCTGAGGCCGCTAACTGAATCGAGGATGCTCTGACAGGTATCATCGTATTGGACACGATACACTGTGCACGGCTCTGGCAGGCAAAGCTTTGTGCCATTTTGTAGATTGCACTCCGAGCCAACGCCGGCGGCCTTCCTGATGGAATATGTCGAGACATTCCTGGCTGTGGCGATGGAGTCACAAGTATCGTTGGGCTGGACCGCGTACGGCGATCCGCAGGTTGGGGGATCCGTAGGGGCAGCGACAGGCTTCGTGCTGAGAGCGTACTTGGCTGGTGAAGTAAACGCGTAGCCCTTAGCGCCGCATTTTGACGTGATGGACTCGAATCCTTGGGCGAACTCTTGGTGATAACCGAAAGGGGAGTTCAGCTGCTCCCTGACCAGGTTGAGAGAACAGTCCGAGCAGCTGTCGGCTGCTGTTCCGTTGGCAAGTGCGTTAAGATATAGCTCGTCGCAGAATTTGCCAGTGTCTCTAACTCGGGGGAATTAGATTAGTGCCAGCTTGAGAATTGTGAAGGGCCCGTCTTCAATCGATCAAACATAACCTAACTCACCCGTCTTTAGTGCAGGAAACGTTGTAGGTGTAGATAAGACGGTCGATTACAAATGTTGCTGCCACGATTAGCAAATCCATTCTTACGAACCTTCCAAGACGAAAGGCTCAGGAAAGCAAGCATAGGTAGCTCACCAGGATACACGACTGAGCGAATCTCAATGACGTCCTTATCGGCACGGCAACCTTCGTCGATGACCCTCCGGACAGAGCTCAGCGAGGAGCGGCAAGCTGAGGTACACAACAATTTCAGCGAAGATGACTCCAGCCGGGGCATGTCGACCGAAGCCGCAGCCAGAAAGCTCGGGCAGTCTTTCACCGTGGTGTTAAGCGCCTCAACACACTTGTCACTGAGGCCAGGATAAGCTTCATTGCCGAGTGTTGTATCATTGAACCGCTGGGCGTCTGTAGCGCATACGATGAAGAGGATGCTGACGAGAAGGGCAAGCGCCCTTGACCGCGTCGCAAGCCAGGGGAATTTCATGCTGTTCGGTTGTGTTTACAGAGTATAGGTGATATGGGGTGAAGAATAGCTCAGAACTGTTTTGTGCCCACGCAGCTGCTCTCACAAAATAGAACCCCTGACACCAGTCTGAGGAGGTAGTTAACAAGCGTCTCCGAATTTTCCATAAGCGTGCCGTAGTATAGACAGTCCTTAGTTGTCCATCCTCCGTCTCGCGTTACAGCGTTTTCTGATCACCCGCACCTTTGCTCCGAGGCAACTCGGGTCTTCACAAGCTTACAACTGTGACTGGAAGCCGATGTTTCCGGTTTCATCTTAGAAACTACGCAGATGTGATGTCACAGAATTGCTGATCAGTGTTCTCCTCGAATAATAGCGAATCAGCAGTAGCATCATCGACAATGAAGGATTGCATCGACCCTCATTGACGACAGATTGCTCGGCGCTGCCATTCGTACCAACTACCTAAATATGCTCTATATGCACGGTAATTATTGTAACTGAAATTCCACCATGGGATCACAAACCGGCTCCAATCCCTCTCCGTCCCCATCGTCATCCGATCCAGAAACAGAGACCGTGCTACCAGCGGGCCTTCTCCCAGCTTAACAGCAGGCTGAAGAGGTGAGGTCCGGTCGTATCATACCTAAACCCCTTTGTCAGGTCAGTTTTTAATTCGGGTACCACACTCAATCAGCCTCTTGACGACGATCAGGACTCAGGTTACGAGCACGATAATGCCACCTCCACTATGTCCTTGTCGCCCGCCGTACTTGACTACAGGACACTCTATGGCCGGACGTTCCACAGCACTCGCGACACGAATGCCCAGTATTGGTAACACAGACTTGACAATGGGATATAATCATCTCCATGAGCTCCCTAACGCAAAATCCGCGCATAGGACACCCAATGATGAATTGCACTGCGAGGCGGCCGATCTCATGTGAGTTCTTCTACTCGGCATCTCCCAGAATATGCTCAGCAGCGGAAAACTAATGTGACGTTTGACGCAAGGCATCAGTGCATAACTCTGGTTCACGACGGAGCACTCTTCAAGGCACCGCTTCAGGACGGCCTGGAGGTACGTCCAGGTCCCGGGAACGCCCCTTCACACTTCTGTATCAGATGTTAACCAACCCCTAAAAGCGAGTGCTTGAGTTGGGTCCCGGAGCGGGTGAGTATTCTTCAAGAGAACAATCCCATTCCACGGCCTTTTTACTACCCCCATTCCGGGGCCGGGGACATGGCAAATGTAAACACCCCTCCCTCCCTTTTTTAACCCCTCCCCCCCCCCCCCCCCCCCCCACCAGCGCCTTCGCCGACGACCACCCCAAGACGCAAGTAACCGGCACCGACATCTCGCCGCACCAACCCGAGTTCGTGCCGCTCAACCTGCACTGCCAGATCGACGACTTCACGCGGGACTAGGTGTTCCCGGCGCGCCACTTCGACTACGTGCACATGCGGTGCCTGTTCGGCTCCGTGCCCGACTGACCGCGCCCGCTGCGGCAGGCCTACAGGTGCTGCGAGCCCGGCGGGTACGTCGAGTCGTTTGAGATGTCGTGCGTGTTTCGGAGTGATGATGGCTCGCTGCTGGAGGGGTCGCCGCTGGATGAGTGGGGGAGGACGTTTGTGCAGGGGGGGCAGAGAATGGGCAGGCCGTTTGATGTGGTTGGGGAGGGGTTGGTGCAGGATGCGTTTGGGAGGGCGGGGTTGGTGGATGTGAATGAGTGGGAGTTTAAGGTGCGTTGGGCTTGATTCAGTGTTGTTGTTGTCTACCGGAATCTGTTGAGGTTGTTGGTTGGCTGCCTGTGGATGCTAATCATATTGGCAGTGTCCAATTGGCCCTTGGCCTGAAGACGAGGGCCTCAGAAACATTGGAAAGTATGCCCGAGACAGCATCACCCGTGACGCTGAGGGTAAGCACCACTGCTCCCTTTGCATTCGATTTTGATACTGACGCGTGGACTCAAGGGTGGGTCTCGTTCGTCTGGTCCGAGACATGGGCCAGACTCCGTTAAGGGTCACTGTCTATTGCGCCCGTCTCCGTGAGCAGTTGAGGAACCCAGACGTCCACGCCTACGTTATGATGCGGAGTGTGTACGGGCGGAGGCCTAGGCAAGAGGAGGTGTACGCGGCGGCGGCCAGTGGTAGATCTATTGCTGCCACAGGTGTTGGGGCTACTTCTGCCGCAGGTGGTGAAGCTGCTACTACGGCAAGTGGTGAGGTTACTCCTACGGCAAGTTGTGAGGCTACTCCTGCGATAAGGGGTGAGGGTACAGCAGCGAGGAGTCAACCCACTGCTGCCACTTCACAAACTGCGAAGCCATTGGCAAAGGGATAGTCAAGCTTCACTACCGGTTGTTTTGGTTCTCGTACTGGCAAAGGCCCCAAACAGCCTGGGTCTCTTCCCGAGTCGCAGTCTGTTTTACAGGATAGTTCAAGTAGCGCAGTATCGTCCAAGCATTTAATAACAAACCAAACCAGATACAACTTCGTCCCCTGGCACTCGAAGTATGAGCACATCCGCTGAAACTAGCCGCATAAGAGCACCGTCGCCCATGAGTCTCGGCAAGTATACGGTATGATAGTATACCTAGGCGAGCTACGTTACATGTAAGCAGAGGGTTGCAGCTTATGTGCCCTTTTCTGCCCTTCGACCAACCAAAACCTCCATCTCAAGATGAACTCGCGTCATTCGCCCCACTGACAAGCACCCTTTTAGGCAATTTCTCACGTACGTTCATGTTCCTTTGCAATGCTCGCCGGTTTATACAAGTAGATCAGAGCCTTCTTCACGGATGGCCGTGGAACCAACATAACCCAAGGCTGCAATCGTAAAAACGTGGGTAAACTCCACGAGCCCCTTTCACATGGCCGCCACATCAGCCTCACTACGTCCCAAACTTCAACTGCCGCGGTCATTTGCAAGTATCATAAAGAGGCGATCTCATCCAAGCGTTGTTCATCAGAAATCCGCACATATCAGACATCGTTGCGAGAAACCCCTCTCGACACACCAGCCAACTTATCTCCAACTATCGAGAAGGCCTTTCATGTCGTCACCACAGAAGGTCGGCTCACACGGGCCAACAAAGAAGATTGGGATGGAGTGGTATGACCTTTCGCCCGAAGGCAAGATCCAGTGGTTGTTGGACTCTGGCGCAGAGGACAAATGGGGCTGGGTCATTTACCGATGCACTTACAAGCCGGAGCTAGACAGCCACTGGAAAGAGTTCAAGCGCCGGGTTGAAACTGGGTCTCGCAAGCTCATTGCAGAGTTCGACGCTCCGGGGATTGCCGAAAAGCTCGACTGGGTCTTTGTCGAGGATCCCGAGCTGGAGAATGCCTCTCGTGATGAATTGAAAGGCAAGTTCAAGGCGTGGGCGCGCACCGAGAACCCAAACTGCGATATGGATAATCTCCGGGACGGCCGGGGTGCGCGTTACACATATTTCATCCAGGTTGACGAAGATGCTCTGTTGAGCATGGCGGGTACGCCCAATGACCCGAGGAACCCGGGGCATGTCAATATCATCCGCGCCTGGCAGGATCCGCTCCCTCCTGAGGAAGCAACGGATCCGTCTGGTGAAGTCGAAGATAGCGAGGACTGGATGAAGATGCGGGTGGACATGATGGATGCAGAGTTCTACATCGAGATGGATGACGATGAGGCTTGGTACAGGTTCTATCGCCCACCACCGCACCAAGTGTGCCATTGGTAATGGTGTTTGGTTACTATCTGTATCCATAGATCGGCACTATTCCCATGACACCTTGTCTCCGCAAAGTCTCCCACCTTCCACCAAAAGGACATACCCTGTCTTGTCACGTTGCGCGATCAAGGCCCAAGTCTCTGGGTCTGTTTCACAATAATCTCGCAAGCCGTGGGGGCTGGCTAGCCTAGGACATACCTAGTGTAGTCTAGTTGCAGGTGACTGAGAACACACGTGGAGACAATAATACCACTTGGTTGGGATGGGTAAGTTGCTTCCCCTGTGCAGGTATTGACAGGGCTTGCACAGATATTTTTGTTGATTTGGCAGTGGTTTGGCGCAGTTCGCAGGGGTTTTAGCGCGCCCCACGGGTACTCTGGACAGGGGAAACAACTTATGCACCATACCACAGTATTAATACGGCTCGGACCAAACCTCGGCGCATTCTGTTGTGCATCCGAGTCGAGCTGACGACCCATGACTGCCCAGTCTTGACACGGCCAGATCGTCTTTCGATTCGATCTGCAAGCGCTTAACCTCCATGTGGCCAAGCCCATGTGGATATCCCAAGGCCTTGGCCACGACCAGAAAAGAAAGTGGGACGTGGTTTTCTCATCCAAGACATCAAATCTCACGCCATCCAATCTGGGCGCTCCAGCCTGGTTGGCAGTACCGGATCTGCGGAAATTTAGCCGGGGCGTGCCGCAATCTCGAGGACCCCAGACCTGCAGACTAACAGATCCCGTCACAGTCGCATTGGGTGGTCAATATATACTTGTAGAGTCTGGGCCATTGTTTAAGATGACCGCGTGGCCCGGTTGACCTGGTGTAGTTGGCGCACTGTACTTTGCTGAGACACTCGAGAGGTCAACAGATTCAAGATGCTTCCCTTGACGACAACAACATTACTTCTCTCCTGTCTGGGAGCCGTTGCCGGGCTTGCCGTGGGCACGAACCCTCAGCATGAGATCCAAGGGCTGGGGTCAAAGCGGAAGCCATGCCCAAAGCCAACAGCCACGTGCTTAGCCCCCAACGCCTTGCAGACCGCAAGCCAATACACTGGGTTGGAGGAGGGAACGCCAGGAATTAGAGATGGCCTGAGCGAGTCGAAAACGTGAGCCTTCCATCCCCCCGACCATGCATCGGCACAAGGGCCAATACTAAATTACTAACACAATATCCCACCAGCGACTCCGCCAACTTCATCAACTTCTGCGCCGGCCGCACGCTCACCAACGGCCAGCAAAACACCGCCGGCTCCTGCAACGGCATCCCCATGGGCCGCATCCCCGCCACCACCAACATGATCTCCACCATCATCACCTACCCCCAGCCCGGGGACCTTGTGCCCGCCAACACCACCTTCACGGTGCGCATCCAGACGCGGCACCTGCGCGCGGGCTACCTGGTCAACCCCAGCAGCAACTACTACACGGCGCCGCAGGACCTGGACGAGAACGGCGACATCATCGGCCACTGCCACATCTCGGTGCAGAACATCGGCAGTCTGCGCTCGCTTGAGGTGCCCGACCCCACCAAGTTCGCCTACTTCAAGGGCGTCGACGATGCTGGCGACGGCAAGGGCGCCCTCGAGGCTGAGGTCACGGGCGGCTTGCCCGCGGGTGTCTACCGTGTCTGCACGATGGTGGCGGCGAGGAATCATCAGCCTGTGGCGATGCCGGTTGCGCAGAGGGGTGCTCAGGATGATTGCACTAAGTTTGAGGTGGGGGGTGCGTAGGGGGTTTTGGGTTCAGGGGTTGGAGGGATTGGCGCACTTCAAGTTGGAAGCTTAGCGGCGTGCCTTGCAGAGCAGTGGTTGTAATAATCATATAGACTGATACCGTGGGAGATGTGTCGAATGACGCCATGGTATGTGGTATGCGAAAATGTCAGTCATGAAACCCCTCCGACCCTCGGATCCTTGCTCGGGGGGTGAAACAATCCCTCTTTGTCGCTGCTTTTGGTGATCCTGTCAAGTCTTTGTTTATGTGACCAGGGAGTGGTGGGATGTTTTCATGGTAGAATATGTCAACAGACACAAGCCTATTGTGCAAACAATGGCTCTGTCACATTGCGATCAAATAACTATAAACAATGCCTGGGGTGTTCAGAAGCTACCTGCCGGCCTGCATGTACTACCTGATGTCCACCAATTCCAATACCCCGAACTCTATCTTGACATCACTTCGACAATGGACGCCCTAACATTTCTAGTTTGTCACCTCCGCATGGAGGATCCCCATACTGCGGCCTTCTTCATCTCATGTTTCAATGACTACGCCTACGAGTATCTTATCCACCATCCCGACGTTTTAGACCCTGACTTTTCCCATATCAGGGCTCGTGTTCACCTAACCATGGCCCACCGGCCAGTAGGATGGCTCTGGACCCAAGAAACTCCCTGGGCAAAGCAGTCTTGGGGGCAAGAAGAACACGCCACTGCGTTCGTCTTGCACGTCCTGGACTAAGTTTACAATAGGGGATATATTTCCAACGATTGTACCATTGACCAGGCTATCTGGGAGATTCATAGGCGACTTTGTATGCTGTAATCTTTGTGCCTGGGGAATGGCATTTGGGTTGAGGACTCGGCTTATGAAAGGAATCTTCAAAAGGCACTATATGAGCAGATGAAAGTGTCCGCTATCTACTAGGTCGAACCATCGCCTATCGCGTTTCAAGTATTGGTTCTGCAGGGGTTATCAAATGGCAAAGATGGGCCTAATAAGTCGCCCACAGAAGAAGGACGTTGCAAGTTCAGTAAATATATTATTAGTTTTACTCATACGAAATGTTAAAAGATCTCTTGTCCGTAAACTCAAGGTATCTCTCCCCGTTTCTCCTGCCCCTCGTGAATCATGTAATAACCCCCCTTCGGCAATTGCCGAAGTTAAGAATCCGAGTGTCGGGGTATCTCTGAAGCTCTGAAGCTCACAACCAACCTCCCAAAATGACTGACCCAAAGCCCCATGTGCCAACCCCTGAATATTACAACAAAAGATCCCTGCATTTTTAGCCGTTATAACCATCCCGCGATCCTAACATCTTGTGTCAATGAAGCTTCTCCAGGGCGGCTCACCATGACGAGTAAGACTTACTACCATCCAATCTATAAGTACGCCGCCCCGTTTAATACCAAAACGAGTTATCGACAAACGCTCTAGCTCTTCAGCTCGACACCACGTCGGGCCAGGTCCTCTTCATCCAACGAGACTTCCACAGACCGCGTGTCGACATCGGAATACTGGCCTTGGCCGGCCTCCCTTTTCGGCGGCGTGGCCAAGTCGGCTGTAAAACACAGATTCACGAGTCAGTCGACTCCCATCGTAAGAGGAAGGGGGGGGGGGGGGGGTCGACCCACCACTCATGCCCAACATCGCCGTATACGCGTCATCCCTCCACGAATCCCGACCCCGGGTCTCCTCCACCCCAGCTGCCTGTGCAGGCAGAGGCAGAGGGACGAGGTCGATCTCGTGGAGCTGATCCTGGTACGGATACGGTGGATATACGCAGTCCTCCCGCGCCATGCCCGACACCAGGAATGTGACAGCCGCTGCTGCATCGTGCCGCGTGGGCGCCGCCATTGCCTCTCCAATGGAATGAGTGGGCGGGGAGTAAGTAAGTGGGGGGGTTGGTGTCAGTCGGGGCTGTGAGCTAAGCGGAATCGGCAAACGGCTGGCAGCATCTGCAAGGGAGAGGCGAGAGGGGCGAAGACCGGGGGCGCTGACCGGACTGCTGGGGTCGTCCAGCAGGTTCCGGGATTAGCGGTGTAAGGGGAAGCAGTGTAATGGGAAGTTTTGGCTTAGTTGCCGCTGAATGTGGTATGGCAGGATGGGGATGTGGATCACGACGGCTGGAAGCATGAACCATTCTTTTATATCAGTTCGCAATCTGCACTTTTCTCCCACGTCTTTGACCCCCATCTCTCCTCCCCAATATTCTACACTGTTTGCAGCATCAGGCACCTTCCACGTATGCGGTCCCTACCTCCAACATCTAGGGCTTTTGGCAAGGCTGAAGGGTAGGTTGCGGGAGCGGTGACGTTGGGCATGGCGTTCAATATCAGAGATACTCGAAGGAACGTGCATGTCACCACCCATGTCTGTCAATTCCGGGCCCTGTCCTTGTCACCCCTGGTCTCATTGGTATGAGATCCTTTTTTGTCAGCCCTAAAATGTCGAGCATAAGCCGCCCGGAACCAGGATCCCGGGCCTTTCGGGACCTAGCGCCGTGCTCTCCGGGCCGGTCAGGGCCGGAGCTCCTGCATCTCGGCGGATCGCGCGACCGGTGGCTCATGCAGGTCTGTCGTGTAACCCCAACAGGCGTCCAATAAGAATGAGATTTTGTTTCCATGTGCATTCCAGACCGGTTCGGCTTGTTCCGTCTTCTCGCCAAGTCCTGAGGTGTCAAGGGCTGCCAGACCGGTTGGAGTCCTCCTCCCGTGCTGCCCTCTCCCCCAGACCGGTCGCAGAAAACGGCAAGGAAAACGTTTCACACGTGGTTGGGCCCCCACAGGCTCATGCTTATTGGGTTTGGTGCTTGAATTTCCTATCAGTGATGAGTGGCACACTTCACAGTCCCAAAACTTCAGCATCATCCATGATATCACTGCTGTTCTAGATGCGTTGGCAGTAATCATTGATGAGGCAGACTATTTGATACCTAGGCAAAGATCTCCAGGAAATATACAAATAAAGGGAAAGAAAGATAATGCACAAGATAAAGGTCGGTTCAAATTCTGAAATTTGACCATCGCGTAAAACAACGAGTGAAAAGCACTTTCCTGTCGACGAGTGATCGACCCTTCAGCCATAAATGAAGCCCCGTCTTCGCACTTGCCTCGACCTCTTTTCAGAGCCGGCCTCCGCCTAAAACACACTTCCTTCCAGAAAACGCCACAGTTAAGTGATACTCCAAACTGGGTAAGAAAAAAAAAGAACAGGACAAAAAGAGAACTATCACAACGCCAGCTCCGGTCTGGTTCAGGCCCTGGTTTGCCGTCTTGGTCAAAGCCCAAGGTACCTCATCGCTTTCCACCCTCGACGTCTCCCACATACATCTTCAGTCCTACATTATTGACGGTGCCTTCCGTGTGCTCAACCATGGTGTCCCTCGGTTGCCAGTTCTCCTCGAACATCTGAGAGAGGAAGTACAGCTCGTGCTCATAGAGATCATTGTCCCTATTCGTCTTGATTACCTCGCCTGCGTAGATGAAAAGGTTAGTTTTGTCGCGCTCATCGATTTAGGGCCGGGCCTTACCTCGCTCTTCAAACAGCACTTTGGTTCGCTCCAAGAACTGAATGTCATCGACGGACATGTAGGAGAATGGCGTCAGGTGCCGCTTTTTCCAATCTTGTTTAAACGGGTTGGTCGACTCGGTTCGGTAGTGGTAGTGTGAAAGAAACACGTTTGCGCTGTGGTGCTGCTCGGCAATGAAGTTGGGAATCGCGTATCTCCGCTAGAAGGTGATTAGCATCGTTCTCTCATCATACGCATGCTTTCGCTACTTACCAGGAGGCCGTGTTTGCGTGCATTGTGGTAGTTCTCTGCCGTTATTCTTGCGCAGCTGTGGAGAGACATGAACGTAATCAAGTAGATTGTCATCCAATTCCTCGGGTTGCTTGTCAGGGTCAGTCTTTGGAAATCCTCCAGAACTTGCTTGCGAAGCGGCTCCAAAATGCCCAAAGTCAAGATCATATCCAGTTGCTGGATCATGACCGGCGGCAGTGGGATCTTCCCGAATAACGGATAAGATTCATCCTTTGTCTCCGGTTCCATGTCGAGCGTGTCTTCCCCGACAATATGCTCCGTAGTGGCCGTTCGGCGGATCGCGAACCATAACCGGAAGAAGTTCCCGAGCAGTTTTCGCTCCTCGTCAGACTACATCTTTGTTGTTAGCAACCTCCCGACCAGGCCCCCAACAAACGTGGAAATCGTTACCTCCACTCGTTGCATGTGCTTTCGCGCAAACTCATATGTATCCTTGACCAGCTGGTCGCTCCCGCGGAGGAAGTAGTCCATACATTTGAAGACATTGGCGGTAACGTACTCCCTCATGTCATGTACTGCGTTCTTCATATTGACGACGGCGTACGGCGTAGTCTTCTTGAACTTCTTGACACCGTTCCGATGGTCTACCCAGGATCGATGGATTGAGTCCTTGTGGGGGATCGGGACGAACCTACGGACAACAAGCTTGAGCGGGACTTCGCAAACATCCGACTTGACCAAGACTGTCCTCAAATTTGGTGAGTCCCATTCCGTTATATCTTTGAGCTTCATCACAGGCCAGCGGAAGGTGAATTCGAGGCCCGGGGCTTTCCCAGTCCTGTAAAGCGTGCACTCGGTGAGCCGGTACCGAAGGCAGGGCAGATAATGGACTTTCTGCTTAGAGACAGCCAAGCAAGTGCCACAGATACCGGTAGGATCGTCCTCAACGATAGCACACTATTAGGCTATTAGAAAGGTGAACATGCCGGGAAATTACTTTTTCTTACCCGAATTCTCTGCATGCGGCATCGAACGCATGCCTTTAGTCCCCTCGTCCGGCTGGCATCTTCCTGTCGCTTGCGGTCCTGGAATGGCCCACGCCGTTGGGCACGTGCCAATGGCTGTGGCTGCAGTGGGTGCTCCGACACGAAACGGAGGCTGTCGCGGGAAACATCTCCATCGCCAGGGTTGCGACTTGGTGGCATGGGCCCGAGATACCCACCGGCTGTAGGCCATTCAAAGGGTGGTGGAGGTCGTGAAAGCTGAGATGACTGAGGTTTCTCGATAACCTCCCAGGATTGTTGTTGGCTAACTGGGTCTGCATCGCTTGAGAATGTAGGCGTAGCCAGTGTTGTGTTGGCCGGAGTTGTCAGGTGGCTCACGAGGGAGGGAACGTATGGCGTGTCCGCTTGAGCAAGCCCCCATGCAGGCTGAATTGATCGACCATATACGGCCGAGGCCGACGGCCTGGTGTTGGGTTCTCTTATCGGCCCTTGCGCAGCAGCGGTAGCTGGAGCGAGGATCGGGAATTCATCCCCCCACGGGTCCACGTATTCGTACTCTTTGGTGATGCCATCATCGATATTATCGAATTCGGCGGCATAAGACTGCCACACTGAAACATCCCCATCCGACCCGCTGTCTCTATTGTCGTCGCCGTTCGGTTGTTCGTCGTCATGGCTACTGGTATCTACACATACGAACATGAGCTTCCTTGGCCAAATGTGATTTGGGTTTTAGGTAAGAAAGTACCGTTCTCGACGTCATGACTATCACCCACCACACCTTGTGCAGTTCCAAGACTGCCCGTGCGTTGCGATGTCCCCTGGTCAACCGTAGAAGGACCCGGTATAAGTTGGGTGACTTGGGTCAGTGGGATGTTCATGATCGATGCCGCCCGTTCCATCACCCCCCTGTCCTCGGGCGTTAGAGACAGGAAGGCCGCCGGCAAGTGGACCCGCTTGATTCTTGTCATGTCGCCGTTGTCTTCTGGGAAAGGGCACGACCTCTTCCGTGACTGGTTCTGATGTACTTTTGGTCAGTTTGCAGAGAAGCAGAATGGAAACAGTAGAGGAGGGCAGGTGCAGTGCTGCTAAATAAAAGGGGCCTCTGAGAATGAAGGAACGAACGGTGAACAGATAAAGAGGCGACGGTGGCAAAGCATCAGCAGGGGGATCTGAACAACACGAGACGATGGCCACAAACTAGGGTAATTTCGGCAGCCGCGATGGTCGCCGTTAAACTGCGCGCGCGGATAAAACAACCCCGGACTCGAAACAGGCGAAACAGAACAGGGGAATTGAATTGAACTCTAGTTTACCTGCATGCTAGTACTGTGCAAGGTGGAATAGTGGCAGGAGAGGGGGACCTGGTCGAACCGGGGTTCCGACCTGAAAGGAAGTTGTCCAACAACGACGGGGCCAAATTCCTCGAATGACGACCCAGATCTGTGGCCGGCCAACAAAAATAAAGAGGCGGAGAAAATCTTAGCCTCGTTTGTCCTATGTTGCAATCATGACCAGAATGGAAATGCGGTCAGACGGAATGCTTGGTTCTGAGCCTGAAGTTCGCGCGATATTGCAGGATTGTCGACAATGGCCATTGTGTGGTCGGGGAATCCCCAATGGAATCCCAAGACACCCCCCGCGCCTCGAGTTCAGACCGGTTCCCGATTCGGCTGCACAGGAGCGGTTGGCAGCACCGAAGTACTAATACCGCGCTGTCCCGCACAAGCTCATCAGAGACAGTGTACCATGACCCGGCCAAGTGGCTGTCACACTCAAAACACTTTAGCATTCTCACCGGGTGGCTTGTCTCAAAAGCCCAACATCAGTTGGTATTGCTGGTACAACATGTCACTTCTCAAGCTTTCCAGGCTCACCAAGCACCACGGCACGCATTTAAAGCATTCGGACTCCTCCGCCTGAAACAAAAGCATCGAGTGACCGAGGACCGCCACTTACGGCCCATTTGCGGCATGGCTTTTCAGATCGCCGTGGTTGATTTCCCACCTCCTGACTGCCAGAGTACATCCCAAGCCGTAACGAGCGAAAGATTGGCCACCCATTCACGTCACGGCCGTAACCATGCCCCCTTCTTTCCCTACCAACCGTGCCTTCCCCCCAAGAGCACAAGCGAGGCGAGTCACGAGGGCGGTCACACAACTCTTCCCGCCATGATTGGAAGGAACGAATTTTCAGCAAACTGGCACGGCAGGCCACGCTGCCGGCAATTGGAGCCCCTTTCATGCCCAAGTCAGGTTTCGGTGCGGAATCCGTCTGCCATGTGTGTCACCGCATGGCAGAGCCTCGTCTCGGGCGACGAAAGTTCGACCGGGCAGCAACTGGTCATCGTGCCGAAATAGAGAAACGATGCATTGAATTATGCCCAGCGTTCTTGCCTTGCCAAACTCCAACCCCCCGAAACTTGATCCCGGACGCCCGACGGTGATGGAAGGCGCGCTGAGCGGTGCAGGCGCCAATCAGAGAGAGAACAGCAGAGGCGTTACTGCGAATGGCCGGCCGCTGTACCCTCTCACACAGAGCGGGGAGCCAAAACATTGCGCCCTTGCCCAACCGTGGAAATGCTTTTGGCCGCCAGCTCATGGGAGTAACGCCTACAGAAAACTGGAGGACGAACATCCAGATGTTCTAACCTGCCGTTTCGACATCAATCGACCCTTCAATCGACCATGGCGGCTTTGGACTGGCCCGGCACTTCTCGAAGGAGGCGGGTGTTCCCTTGATCTGAACGGAACAGCAAGTGAGTTCCAAAGTACTTGGTACCTAACGTGAATTTCCACTCATATTTCATACCTACAAGATCCAGATCATAAAACGGTGTCCCCGCCAAAGTTGGACAGCCCTCATAACATCCAACAAATGAGGCAGGATCTCGATGAGGAGTTCTGTGGCCTCGACCTGCCTACTGTCCAGCCTGAGTCATTCCACCACCTTGCACCATTGGAGCGGTACCACAGTGAAAAGCCATACAAATGCCAGCTGCCCAATGAATGCTTCCCCGGCCTCGAAATGCACAACCTCGTCTCGAAAAGCTACCGCGTCAGCATTTCTGACATTACCGGCCACGAAGCCCGGTTCTCCCTCCCTGTCTCTGGGTTCGAATTTGCCAAGTCTCCTGTCACTGTACAGAATTGGTCCGACGATTATGTGTTGTCCGAATATCTCCCCGGGCTTGTCGAATGGCTAACGCAGCGTCTTGGCTGCCGGGGCGTCTTCTGTTACGCCTACAATGTGCGTCCCCACCGATGGGGTGGTGCGGGTGCTGCAGGAGGCATCGACCACTCGTCAGACTTCCTGCCTGGCTTCTGAAGCTAAGTCACAAGCGTTCTTCGCAACAGTTCCGCCACCATGGTCCGACTCAAAAAGCGAACGGCTTAGAATACAACTTCAAGCCGCCCTTTTTCCGCGCGCATTGCGGTTCGTGACACCAAGCAAGCACGTATTCACTTGGCCGTACTGATAACATATCCGCCAGATGCAACCGAGGCAACTTGTCAAGCTCGCCTTCAACTTTACTTTCCGGATTCTTACCAAGAGATCATGCAGGATCGCATCCGCTTCATCAAGTGGGTCAAGCCGAAGAGACGGGGACAGCAATCATGTTTTTTGCTATTGCTGATAACATGCCATAGCGTCTGGAGGCCAATATCACCGGCACCCGTGGAAGATTGCCCCCTGGCTCTCTGCGACTTCCGCACTGTTGACCGCGATGATCTGGTCCCTATGGACATTGTCTATCCGCACTTCATCGACGAGGCTTACGAGGTGAAATACAACCCATCCCACCGATGGTTCTATAAGAGAGGCATGACGCAGGACGATGTCATTGTCTTCAAACTCTACGACAGCATGAAGAGCGAGGCAACTGGCAAGTCTAATACCCAAACCTAAATGAACTTAGAAGGCCTCGCTAACCTAATCAGTGTGCCCCCATTCGGCTTTTGTCGACCCATCGGTGCCGTCGGATACACCGAGACGCGCTAGCATTGAAGTCAAGGCCATCGTACTGGGATGAAGAGGCCTGCGATACTGAATAAGTGGGTGTACTAAATTTCGTATTATCTGTCGCTATTGTATCAAACCTTTACGGCGTTTGTGCCAAGTCCCACTGGTATGCCAAAGTCTGGCCAGCGACTGAGTATGTTGTTTTTTTTTGGCATATCATAGCGATGGCGCTCATGCATCAGTTATCCAGTTATGAAATATGATGTTCTGAGAAAGATCTACGGGCCTGTTGAATGAATTGGACACAGTTGTCGAATGCGCTAAACGCTCACCTTCTTTTGCCTTCCTTTCAGCGTACGACTGATTCTCGGTCCCGTTCTTATCCTCAATTGAAACCACCTACCCGCCGTCAGCATGTATTTTCGAGTAGATGAACGTGATATGATGGTCGATCTAATTACTAACCGAAACGCTAGCTAGTTGCGGTAAATGGTTTTTAGTAGGAAGGCCAATGATTGCTTTCGGTTTTGCCCGTCTAGTCAACTCTATATCGACGATGTTCTACAAGATGGGCAGGTGCTCCCACCGAGACCCTACGATTAGCTAACCTTCGCGCCCCAAGACATCCCCATCATCTGGTTGAACGGCCACCTAGCACAGTGCCAATTTTTAGTTCAAAGAGTCAGTCATAGGGCACTTGCCCCGACGCCCCTCCCATGCTATATGTATTAGGTCCGTGTCACTGTTTTTTAACGAGGACCACCAACCACCTAAGACATGGCGCAGTGGTTACTAACGGTGGTCCTCAAAACCTCGAGCAGTAGCTCCCCCCTTCCCCATTCGGAGCTCGTGGGTTCGAGCCCTCGGGGTTTCGGAGCAAATCCCTACAAACAAAACAGTAGGGATTTCGTAGCCGGTCACCCTCCCTCTATAGTCCCCGAAGACTGGTCGCTAGTGGGGGGTTGGCCGGTGAGCTTTTGCAGTTTTTTATTCCTTCTATGTACGCTGCTTTCTCCTCGCCATTTTTTTTTTAGCTTTTTATTTACCGCGATCCTAGACGGCATTGCCCAAGTTTGAAGCAGCTCGCATCAAATCTTCACAAATTGTAGTCTACTGTATAATGTTACAACGTGCCTAGTCTATTGACAGGAAAACACATAACGAATTGAACATTCCACCGCAATTAACATGGGGGAATCAGCGATCAATTGTAGGTACCGTTGAGTTATAATTACTAAACGTCAGCTTTTCTTTCTTCCATGCATGTGATACGATCTCACTCAGCAATACGCGCTTGATTTACGCAAAATACGCGGTTGTCTCGGCATGGAGGCAAGTGACGCTTTAGCCAGGGCGTTGGAGAACTTGGTGCCAAGCGAGACTGCCGAGCCGCCATGCCCAAGAACCTTCGAAACTTGCGATGGGACGAAGATTCTCTTTCCGTCGACGCTGACCGCTGGTCACAAGTCCAAAGAGTGCACGGGGGGTTGCGTAGGTCATTACAATTACAGTCGCCCAACATATTCGGAAAGTAAGGAGGAAAAAATCCGCCATGAAGCCCCGTGTGTTTCCGAATTGTCGAATTCGTGCCGAGACCCACCGGAAGCGGACGCCAATGAAGATGCTGCAATGTTCGGAAGAGCACCTTGGTGGCCGGAGCTTGAGCCGGGGGCCGGGTTTCAAAGTCGTCACTGCTGCGCCCCACTGAAATTCGACGATTTGTCCCTGTTAAGGTCACGTTCAAACCAGATTCCATTCTCGGGAGGCAAGAGTCACCGCAAAACTTCTTTTCCAAGGCCAATTGCAGCCAAATACCGAGGTCCTCTTGAGACGAAAGTTGGAAAAGGTCATAAACAGCATCCCCCCCACCGTTGCCTGCCATGAACCGGCCGGTCAAGGACAGAAGATGACCTGGAACATCCCACGTGGAACCAGAACCCGCCATTTCTGGCCCCAGATCTGACGACCCGCCAAGATCTCAACGGCATTGCCAACTCCCGTGAACACCGTCACAGGTGCCCTGGGCCCGGCAGCGGTGTCGGCTTCCCCAATGATGAGAAACAGGCCGGGGATGGTCGACTTTGTCGCTGCGACTGCGAACGCGACTCTCTCGCACCCTCCCCCTTTGCAATGAGCGGCCGTAAGTGACTGGCTTGTCCTTATCTTCCTTCCCGCAGTGGAGCCACCAGCCTGCTAACAACTAAGCCCAGTCAAAGGCCCGCTCATTGCGTCCGAGACAGCACTTGGTGGTGAAGGCCAAGTCTGTCTCCCCTTTCGCCAGTTCCAGCCCCCCTCGGGCTGGGTTTGGCTGGACCGCGTCCGTCATTCTTGTGTCGGCGTCGATCCATGTTGCCGGGAGCCATCTCCCTGCACTATTTGCGAGGACGGCCGGGTCGGTGGTTCCGGATGTAGTAGAGACCACCTCGCGGCTCCTCACCAGCGGCGGGATGCGTGCGCGGGCAACGCCGCCGGGGGCGACGAGTACAACACACCGTTGCACGTGGGCGCCCTCATCATCATCCTAGCCGTCTCGAGCTTGGCCTGCGCGATCCCCATGCTCGCCGCCAAGTTTCCCGTCCTCCGCATCCCGGAACCCTTCTTCTTCGCCGTCCGCCACATCGGCACCGGCGTCTTGCTGGCCACGGCCTTTGTGCACCTCCTGCCCACCGCCTTCATCTCGCTCGGCAACCCCTGCCTCTCCAATTTCTGGACCACCGACTACCCCGCCATGCCGGGGGCCATTGCACTCGTGGGCATCTTTTTTGTGAGTATCATCGAGATGATCTTCAGCCCGGCGCGCAACTTCACGCCGCGGACGGGGCGGGCAGGGGCAGTTGGGGGTGGCGGGAGTGCTGGGGCGTCAGGGGCAGGGGCACACACCGCGCACGCCTCCATGGGGGGTGGGCATTGCAGCAATGCTGCCGTTGTGGCTGCCATCACGCGCCCCTCTGCGACTCACCACGCCAGCCTCGAGCTGGCCCCGTTGGAGGGGAGTGCCGCCGCGGGCACCTCGCCGAATCTTAAGGAGGCTCTGGGAACTGAGTCTCAGGGGTGGAGCCTCACGCCAGAGCAGCGGCACAAGAAGGCCATCCTGCAGTGTATGTTGCTGGAGGTGGGCATCCTGTTTCACAGCGTGTTCATCGGCATGGCCCTGAGCGTGGCGGTCGGGGGTAATTTTGTCGTGCTGCTTATCGCCATTGCCTTTCATCGTGAGCTTCTCCCATCCCATTCCACTCCCGCGTGCCACCACGGCGGATGGCTAACCCGCCCGTTTCAGAAACATTTGAAGGTCTTGCCCTGGGTGCCCGCATCGCCTCCATCAGCTGGCCGAAAAACACTCTTCAACCCTGGCTGATGGTCATAGCCTACGGGTGCACGTACGTTTTTCCCGTCTCCCCATTATCCGCTAACCTTCCCCGTCCTAAACTAACACTGGCAAAGAACACCAATCGGCCAAGCCATCGGTCTGGCCACGCATACCCTGTACAGCCCCGACTCTGAATTTGGCCTGATCCTAGTCGGCACCATGAACGCCGTCTCGTCCGGTTTGCTGGTTTTTGCTGCTTTGATAGAGCTGCTGGCCGAAGACTTCTTGAGCGATGAGAGCTGGTCTGTGTTGAGAGGGCGGAGGCGGGTAATGGCATGCCTTTTGGTCCTCTTTGGCGCGATATGCATGAGCCTTGTTGGGGCGTGGGCGTAAGGCTGGGCTGTGGGCTGCGTTCTGTGCTACGCCTGGTTAGAATTGTTGGAAGCCATGCTTTGGATAACTCGGGATAGACAACGGAGAAAAAGATACAGATATCCGACTATTGGCACTCGTTGTCCTTGGGGGCCTATAAAGAACTGTGGTAAGCGAAGAACTACGGTTTGAAGGAAATAAAGTTGCGAGAGGTTTAAAGGATGCTATGGTAAGGTAATAAGTAGCTCAATAACTATAGGCATTGTCTATAAAATACCCCTTTCGGTATTTGCATTTTCGGGATGTAAACACAGCAGCGCTGCCCCCCTTCTCACCATCGAAGGCGTGGGATGTGGATCATTTATCTACGAAAGCTCCGTCTCCAATTCCCACAGCCCCTCGCTACAGCTGGTGTCCACACCAGCAAATCTTCCGTAGTATAGTGGTCAGTATGTGAGCTTGTCACCTCAAAACGACATCGCTCGAGACCCGGGTTCAATTCCCGGCGGGAGAGTAACTTTTTGACTTTTCTTTTTAACTTTTTAATTAACCCCAATCCTCCTAGAATCATCACCCTCTTTTTAATCTCATAACTCACGCGTCGGCGATGTCCCCAAGTCATTGGACTTGCCACGCCGAGATGGATGTCCCCAAGTCATTGGACTTGCCACGCCGAGATGAACAACAGAAACATCCATGGAGCCGGCCCCCAACCATAATTCTTACACCACCAAAGAATGCACTACATGATACATCCCCAACTTCAAGTGAGTTGAAAGAACGCCAGGCCTCCCTCCCTCCGTACGTACATCCTACCTGGACTTAGCACCCCCTTCCAACCCACAACCCCCTCCCCGCGCCTCCTCCTCCTCAAAACCCCACCCTCAATCAAGTCAGCGGCAGCAACGTCAACCCCGACGGCAGCACCACATCATCGGGGCCCTGGTCATTCACAAAACTGAGCGAGATCTCCTGCAGCTCCGAGTCGTCCTCCACCACGATCCCGCGCGGCGCCCCCGCGTGCCGCCGCCCGCCCGTCGAGCCCTCCCGCGCCCGCGCCGCGCCCTGCACCGCCCGCACCATCACCTCCGCCACCTGCCCGTGCAGCGTGCAGGATGAGAAGACCGCGCTGCTCTCCACCGTCTCGAGCACGGCGCGCCGCTCGGTGGGGGCGGAATGCGTTTCGGTGAGTTGGCGGGTGAGCGCGGCGCGGGTGAGGCCGGATGGGGTGGCGGTGGTGGTTTGTTGCGTGTCGGCGAGGCGGTGCAGGAAGAGGAGGATCGAGGTTAGGGTTTGCGTGAGGAGTACGGCGCGTTCGTGTGGGGTGAGGTGGGCGATGAGGCTGGTGGGGTTGGTGTCGGCGTCGGTGGTGGTGTTGGTGTTGAGGCATTCAGCGACCAGGCCGTGCTGGGAGGCGTCGAAGGTGGCTTCGAGGATGTGGGCGAGCAGGGCGGGGTCGCTGGTGAGTGCGGCGGTGGGGTCACGCAGGTTGAAGATTTGGATGGCGCGCGTGAAGAAGTGCGGGAGGATGTCGGCGATGGCCGTGCCGTGCTGTTTGCGTGCGTGGCCCGTGTCGACTTCGAAGTAGTCGGTGGCGGCGGTGTCGGCGGCGACTGGTGGGTGGTTGGTTAGTGGGTGGTACGTTGCGAGGGGGTTGGGAGAGAAGAGGGGTGGTTTGCTTACACCGGGTTGAGATCAGGGCGGAGTTCCTCTGCGCGGCGGCGAAAGCATACTTGACGCTCTTGTTGCGTAAGGCGGCCAGCGTCGCTTCGGCGAGCACTTCGTCACTCCGTACATCGTCGTCCTCGTCGCCACTGGACACGCACACCCGCGGTACCGACCCACCCAGCACCTCGTCCCACTTCTGGCCGATGTGTTTCTCAAACTTCTTGGACGACAAGTCCCGCAGAATGTGCGACACGGCAACTTTGGACAGGCCCTGCTCCTGTGCGCCACGAGACCAATCGAGCTTGACCTGGCTGACGAACTCGTCGTACTTTGTGAAGACCAAGATGAGGGGCACCCAGGGCGAAGCCGAGTGTAAGCCACCGAAGAAAAAACGCTGTTCGAGTTCTGTCACGGAACGGCCTTCCTCGCTCGCGACGCAGTACCATACGCAGTGGATCCGGTCCTCTTGCTTCGTCGAGGACGTCGCGCGCGAGCTCAAGAAGTCTCGGATGCGCTCGTAGTTGGCGTCGTCGCCAGCGCCTGCGTTGAGGTTCGTGTGAATAGCGAGGCGAGAGTTCTGCCCGTGCAGGTCTAGCTCCTGCTCAATATCGTGGCCGGCGCTGAACGCATCGTCGACGAGTTTCTGGTGCCACCAGTGTGAGGAGTCCAAAACATGTGACGTACAACTAACTCTACCGGGCTCGAATAGGGGCTAACTGTCAGGGGTATCACTAACCTTCTCGAGATCAACCCCGAAGATCTTGGTAAAGAGTTCTCGTTTCGTTGACTCCGGGTTTCCTAGCACCAACAGACGGAATTTGGGACACGCGCTCAGAAACTCAGAGGGTGGTGTGAGCATGGTCATAAGATGTGATTCCGACCAGTCATTCAGTTTTGGTGTCGCCAGGAATTCTGAAGTAGTACTATCCGTGCTTTCGTCAATTCAAACAATGATATCTCGAGTCATTTGAGGTAACGGGGCACATGTGGAGGTCATATGTGGTTTCGCCTCAACGACGCTCCCTCTGTCTTGGATTCCCCTTCCCATGGTGTGGTGCCGAGTGGTCTGATGACGCCATGAGCGCGTCAAGGTCACACCACCACCCTCTTGTCCGCTATAAATGCGCTCTTTCTATTGGATACCGGGCCCTGGCGATTCCAGCTGCTTTTCTGATCTCCATAAATTTACTTTATGCTCATTCTACACGGCAATGTTGTATAACCTTTTCATTTCAAAGCGACGAGATCGAAAATGCCCGTCTTCCATATGGAGATCTGGGGTTACATCTGTCAGTTTAGTAGCCAAGGAATGTACTTCGGGAAAATAGTGTTATTTAACTTGCCGCGGTACTACAAGTTTCATTCACTTTTGGAATGTCCAGCCACGTTTATCATCTGCCGATTGTCATTGAATGGGTTCAAGACCCAAAACTAGACCGAGATCTTACCCCACTAGCTTGTAGTTGTGGACTACTACAATTGAAGATGAGCTAGATTGTACATTTAGATCGGAGATTCTTCCCGATCAGGTACAAGCGCCATAGGAGGAAGCGGGTGTGGCCGAAGGAATGGCTGGCCGGCACATCGGTCACCAACGTGGGGAAAGGACTCGATCATGCATGAAGCTGGCAAGCCGGCAAACAACCCAGCGGGCCGATTGCTTCCCCAAGCGTTGCAACCACTAAGGGCAATGCTACTATACTTCAACCCCGCCCGGGCATGTGAAACCGCCGCCACCGATAAATGGAAGGTGACCGGGCACAATTTGGAGGAATAACTCCCACAATGCGACATGTCTCGGCTTTCGTCGACTGGGCGTGGCACGTTGCGCTTGCTGGTGCCAACGGTGTGCAAGAGGCTGCCTGGTGACCCAAGCTGGCCCAGCAGGGAGGGCTCGCGGCCGTCTTGAGGGACCACTCCAACGGCATCAGGGGCGGAAATAGGCGTCAGGGGCACAAGGCTTGGTCGCGGGAAGACCGGCGATTGGCCAGTGTCTACGCCAGCTTCCCGAATAGTATCTCCCGGGCCAAGAGACGGCTGGGGGATTTTGACATTCTTGCGATGTATTGGAGTCAAGCAAAAGCGCCACATGGGAAATAAATTCTAAAAGTATGTTACGGTATTTACTATATCAGGGGCTGTGTCCCGTCGACCGTGACTGCCTCCATCCTGGGTTTTCACACCAGTCGAAACCACCTTAGACCACCCTCTGTCTCCTTTTCTCAGTCACCGCGGGGTTGGTAAAAGATGAGGGCTCTTCGATTTCTGCCCGTCCTGGCCAGTTCCGCATGGCTGCTGGTGAACGGACAAGCGGACGATGTGTGCAATGCCCAAGACCGCACATACAGCACCGAGGCGGTCCCCGCCGGCACCCACCAACCGTACGACAAGCTGAACCCTGTGGTTGGCGCCCTGAGCACCAGGTTCTACATCACTGTCGTTAACCTCACACCTCACCGCATCAAACTGGAGGATACCCACTCCTACCAGATGAACACCTTCGACTTCGGCGACGTTCCCCAGGGCCGGGCTCGTCAAAACGTAGTTCAGTACCGAGGGACGTGGTCCACCATAGACGACGCTGGCGAAGCATATTACCACCTCGATGGCACTGACAAGAAGTTTGCGCTGCGAGTCAAGTCCTTTTCCGGCTCAAACCCTCGGAGAGTGGTGCTTGACCTCAGCGGCATGGGCCTTGGTCAACGAGAATATGTCTTCCCCGGAGGAGACACCGCCGTCTCTCTCGTCATTACGGGCAGCAACCGCTTTGGATTTCAAGCGTCGCTCCGGCATGGGCCCGGTAACTGGATGCGGAAGATCTACGACGTAATCGGGGACCGCCTAGTTCGGCATCTCATCATGCCGGGCACGCACGACGCGGGTATGAGCAAAATCACAGACAAGATCACCAGCATTGGCAGCGAATCAAACACTCAAAACCAAGGGATCAACATCTACGACCAGCTCCGCGCCGGTTCCCGTTGGTTCGACCTCCGCGTTGGGTCCGTCCACCCCAACGACAACGCCGCAAAGAACAACGGCTTCTGGGTGATGCACGTCAACGACGACCTAGGCACGCTCGCCATTGGCAACACAGGCGAGTCCCTCGACGAAGTCATCAGCGAGATTAACCGCTTCACAAGCGAAAACCCGGGCGAGATCATCTTCTTCACCGTCCGCTACCTCATCGGACGGTACGAGTTTCCGGACCGCGGCCCCATTATGTGGGACACAGCCCTCGTCAACGACTTCTTCTCCAAGCTGCGCGGCATCAACAACCGCTGCCTCAACCTCGACACCAGCACGGGCTTCCAAAACCAAAAGGCCTCCTACTTCATGGACCAGAACGAAGGCAAGGGCTGCGTGATCCCGCTCCTTAACGGCCACCTCGACGGCGGCGTGCCCCGCGAGTCACCGGCCGACGGCATCTACGACATTGGCCGCATGGGCATCAGTGACCACTGGTCGAACAAGATGCAAGCGAGCGACATGGCGCCGGACCAGGTCAACAACTGGCGCTCAGCCACGCGCGGTGGGGCGTCGGACTTTGGCAACCTCATGGTCGCGCAGTGGCTTGTCACGCCTGACGCCCTGGCTTCGACGGCATATTCGCTGCAGAACTTTGCCATCCAGCCCACGAACCCGTCGCTGTACTGGGCGGGCGTCAATGGGATGGACCCGGAACACTGGCCGAATGTGTTGTTGGTGGATTACATTGGGGTGCAGCAGCGCGATCAGTGGGCGTGGGACCGGCTGAGTGCAGAGATATATACCCTGGCCGTGGGTATGAATCTGTACATGGCGAGTGAGAACTGTAATGTCAACAAGCGGCGGACGCCGTTGCTCAGGAGGGGGGAGGTTACTGTGAGGGAGAGTCAGGAAACGACATGGAATGGCATCATCTTTGCGAACGGGACAACTGTGGATAACCCACCCGCGGAGCTGCATCTGGGCCGGGTTGAGATATTGAGGAACGGGACGATATTCGGCAACGGAACGGTCTTGGAGCAGAGTATCCCGAACCCATGGTTATAGATGAGTACAAGGTTGTTGGAAGTGGAAAAAGTCATATAGATACTCCTGATGTGTCTAGATATCCGTTCTTAGCTCTAATATAGTACCCATCTATTCCCATGCTGATATGCTCCGCCCAGTTGATACACGCCGGGATCCCAAGAATGGACCCTCCCCGGGGTACGTGCGATGATATAGTTTAGTTGATCTCAGCCCTCGGCTGCCTTCCACTTGGCCCAGCCGCCCCCCGTCCATCAACATCCCCCTCTCTTTTGTGCATCCATGGCCTGTTTTCTCGCCGCCGCCTGCTGCTGTTTTTTCCTGTCTCGGTTGTCAGCACGCCGCCCATGATAATTTCCCGAAGAAGGGAAAAAAAAAAAAAAACCGAAACGAAACAGAACTCACCTCTCCAAATCTGCCTCCCCAGCCCCAAGCGTCACCTCACCCCTCCCACGCCCATGAAATCCCCCCGGGCTTTCCCTCCTCATCCCGGGCCTCACCACCCCCGACCCTCCACCGTCACCACCGACACTCATACTCCCGCGCCGGGCCCGGGCACGCACCGTCCCACCCTCAGCACCTCCTCCCGCTCCCTTCCCCTCGGGATCCCTCCGCACCCCCATCTCCCTCTGCATATCCACCCCAACATCAGCATCCCCATCCCCATCCGCCCCCGCATCCACATCCCCTCCCCAACCAGCAGCAGCAGCACCACCACCACCACCACCCCCCGTCCCCTGCACCCCCTGCACCCCCTGCGCCCCAACACCCCCAACCCCCGGCGTCGAAACAGGACTACAAATCGGCACAAACCGACACTGCAGGTAGTCACCCCCACCACCCCCACCTCCACCACCAGCACCGCCACCAGTCGCAGCGTACTCGGGCCCGGCCGTGCCGGGGGTGTCGGCGACGGCATACTCGGAGAGGTTGCGCATCGGGCTGGGCTTGGTGAGGGGCGGGTGCGGGTGCGGGTGCGGGAGGTGGTGTGTGGATGGGGGTTGGCTTGGCATTTTGGTGGTGGCTGAGGCGAAATTTGTTTGGTGGTGTTGGTGGTTTTTTGGGGGGGGTTGTCGTTACTTGATCTTGATCTTGGGGGCGTTGGTTTTGGTGTTGGTGTTGTGGTTGTTGTTGTTGGAAATAAGAGTTTCGTTTAGTGGGTGGGATCAGTTCAATGTAAGTGGGTTCGTTCACACGAGTTATTGATCTGTTTGGAGGAGTCTGGGGAAGTGGAAGCAAATAGTCGCGGTCACACTTGTAGGGTATACTTATACACACGGTAAGGAGACTGTGGATGGCGACGTTGATCATGACGTAGCAGGTTCCACGAGTCAACAACATTTATGCAAACCAATCCACACACCCAGCGTCGAGATGACTCTCGCATCGCCAAAACGTTGCGTTTGTTATGCAACTAAAAATAAGAGGCTCACCGTTGATTATCCCCTGGGCGCCCAGCTGCAACCGTTAGAACGCCACGGTACGAACATAGTAAGATCAACGGTACCGAAACCCGGCGGCAAGAGTCGTAGGACGGAGTGGGTTCCGGTTCGGGACCCGGGGAGCCGGCGGGACCGGGTCGGAAGTGGGGCAACCTCTGATCAGGCCGAACTGACAGCTCCGGGGTGTCGTCATCAACGTGCGTGAATTGTCATTGATAAGCCCAACGACGATGACCCCTATAAAGCGGGAAATTCGAGACTACGAACCCTTTCTAGAACCTCTCGTACATGTCCGAACCTGGGGTTGGTCGGCAAGGAACTTGTAGAACGCCCGGCGTCCGACATACATCTCAGGTGCTCACTGCTCGCTGCACGGGCTGTGCCAATCATTGGCAGTTTCCCATCATCTTCAACCATGGTCACAGCAGATACTTTGCCCCATACGGCTAAGGCTTGAACAAGTATGGCTCAATGCACCGGTCAAATTTAGCATCAAGGGGGGCTAAAGTAGGCTGGCCTCGCGCACAACGACCTCGATTTGTAGGATGGATGCATGCACTTAGCCAGAAACAAGCTCACAACACATAACAAAGCAAAAAGACATGGCACTGGACAAAACCAAAACAGTTGCTCTCGTCTATGATGTGCCCTGTATCTAATAGTATCCCATACACCGAGAACCCCTCAGATCCAGCTGTCGGGATGCAACCCGGCAAACGAAGGAAGAGGACAAGAAAAAAGCCAAAAATCCGCATACATGCGTTACCCCCAACAATGGTATCGATATCCGTGTACATACAACACACACACAACCCTATCCTCGCCCATTAAGCACCTTAGAAGAAGGTGAAGACACCGGCAACGAGAGCGAGGCCGACGACGGCGACGCCGGAGAGACTCTTGCCCACAAAGGCGCCGTTGTCGCTCGGGCTAGGGCTGGTGGCCGCCTCAGCCCCAGAGCCGGTGCTGTTGTCATCGCTGGTGCCGGTGCCGCTGTTGCCGCTGTTGCTGCCAGACCCTTCAGTGCTGTCAGCACCGCCGGTGGACGAGCTACCGGGAGAAGAGACGCCGGTAGAGGAAGCACCGGTGCTGGGGGTCGAGGACGGGGTGTCGAACTTGGTGGGGCAGGTCAGGTCGAAAAGCGGCGTCTTGGAGAGGTTGTTGGTGATAGCAAACTTCATCTCGTTGTCCGGGTTCGAGTCACGGAGGTTGTACCAGAAGGTGGGGACCTTGTTGAAGAGCTTGCGGCAGCCGATCTCTTGCCAGTAGTACTTGGCGTTCTCGGTGCTCGCGACGGCCTGGTCCCAATCGGGACCGGTGGCGGGCCAGCCAGTCTCGGTGACCCAGATGGGCTTGCTGCCGACGGCGCCGGCGACAGCGTCGAAGGCGCGGTCAAATAGCTTGCCCGAGTTCTTGATGTCGTTGCCCTTGCCGGTCTCGTAGTAGGGGTACTCGTCAACACCGACCCAGTCGACGGCGTCAATGACGACCTTGTTGGTGCTGTTCGTCCAGGCATCCCAGGTGTCGACATGCCCAATGGGGACGCTCTTCAGTGGAGTGTTCGAGACCGCCTTCTTGTACTCGTTGATGAACTTGACCACGACATCTGGGCCGGCACCGATACCAGCCTTGTTGATGACGCCCGTCTCGGAATCACGGTAGAGATCCTCGCTGCCAATCGACATGCCAATGACGAGATCGGTAAATTTCTTGCCGTGCTTGTCGATGGCCTTCTTCAGCGCGCTAAGCTCCTTCTCGATGCTGTCGGTGCCCGAGGTCCAAATACCGAGCAGAATCTTGGTGTCGGTCTCCATAGCGGCCTCGAATGCCTGGATCGGGTCATCCTGCGAGTAGGCCTGGATGTTTGTGTAGAGGCGCACGGCGTTGAACTTGCCAGGTGCCTTCTGAAGGCCCTGTGCCGTCGTGAACTCAGCGAGCCAGTCCTTCTTGAACTTGGCCGAGCGGTCGGCGAGGGTAGCGCCGGAGTTGAAGCCGAGGTAGTTCTCAGCGGATGCACCCGAGGCGAGGGCGCCGGCGATAAGTGCTGTGGTGGGACGCATGGCGATGTGATACGGGAAGTTTTGAAGTTGTGATCGTTGGTAGGATGCGACTTGGCGAAGTTGGCAATTGCGTCACTGAAGCAAACAGGAACCGCTTGGAAAACTGGTGAATAGTGGCCTCGTTAGGAGGAAGGAGCGTGGGAGAATTCGAAAGATGGAAGATCGCAAAATTGCGCAGGAAAGAGTGTCGGCGTCGCAAGGACAGTTAGATGCAGATAAAGGAAGTTGACGAGGGAAAGAGAGGGAAAGGAGATCGTCGTGATGGGCCTGGGAAGCAGGTCTTGAAATCGGTCCCGATGGAGGAATTATTCTCGTCCAGGGTGGCGCGCCTGCCCTGGTCGGCTGCAAGGGCCGGTCGGGAGCGAGAACACAGCCCCCTTGGCGCTGCCGATCTTTTTGTGTTTACCCTGGTCCGGCTGGTCAAGATACACTTGTGCAAGCTCGCGATTCTCGGTTGTTTGGCCCTGCATTCAACGTTGACGTACACTATATCAACATGCCAATAACTAACAGTGTCCCTATTCGCAGCTCATGCACCACATGTACCTGTATGCGTATGCTGTCCCTCAACCCAACACTCTCTCGGACTCTCCGAAACTTCTTTGACCCGGATCCGATCTCGTATCGAAGCTCAACTTGTTCCACAGCACTTTGAGGTTTTCCCCTGACCGGGGTCCACTCCAAAACTGGCATTCCACTCCCGCCCCGCAGCCGCCCCTGAGTGAGCACAGGGGACGCCCCAAAAAACTGACCACTCAGCAGTCCAAGGCCGAAGAAGCGAGCCGATTTGATGGCAAGGGGCGTTTCAAGCTCAACCGACTGGTCAAGCATCTGACAGGCGTTGAGAGCGCGCGGCATGGCTAGCGCTGATGCTGAATGAGGGGAAGAAATCCAACGAAACAACACAAGAGTTACCAATATACATGTTGTGGCGAGAAACCAAACCAAAGGAGTTTGCATTTGTGGTAACTAACTTGAGGTTACCTCGGTTGCGACCTTTGGGATGACAAAGATCCGTCAATTGGTCGCTGGTCACGGATCTCACTAACGAGACGAAACAGCCGGCCGGAGAGGTCCAGGCCTCCCAAGACCCTTACAAAAATTCCGCATGATGGCGGTGGGAGATTGTTAATGAAACAGGCTGGCCACTCCACTCTCGCCAGGACTGGATGAAACGAAACACAAAACAACCAAGAATTTCACAACTCAACTTTCAGACTTTGCTTGAATCCATGCCCACAAGGGTAACTATGAGAAGCCTGTCAGACTTGGTTAGAATTGCAAGCGAGGCATGAACAAAAGTGTTGAGTGGGGATCAGAATACCCGACCTCAACTCAGGCTCTGGATGTTACCCTAGACAGGACACAGAGAGTTCGTGATGAGGGAAGGTAGTACGGTCTGGCGTACCCCGTGGTCAAGTGAGCTGGACTCAACTCCACCTCTCTTCCGTGATCTTGGCTCAACTAACCACCGGGTAGCTTATTGTATCCGGCGGCAGCAACGAGGTGTTTACTACGAATGCGCTAAAACGTTACATTCAACTCTACGACATTCCAACAGTGTACCAATACCGAGTCAGAGTTAAGCTCGTGGCGTATCGTCAAGTAGACGTGGAAGTTGGAGCAAATAACATACTGATCCACTTATGGAAATCCCCAGCCATCCACCCCGCGAGCTGCCGTAGAACCGCAATAATCATATACATACCAGCGACAGTCCTAGTGTTGCCTATGTGCATGTCGGTAACGATATCCTGATGGTGGTTGCGTTGTTAGTCCGCAGTACAACGAGAACAGCAGGGCAGAGATGGGGGAAGAAGAGCAGAGATGGGGGAAGAAGAGCAGAGATGGGGGAAGAAGAGCAGAGATGGGGGAAGAAGAGCAGAGATGGGGGAAGGGGGGGCAGTAGCGGAACACATACAATCGCATCCCCTACATCAACGGCGAAACTTAACCTCCACTCGTGCTCTATAATAAGTAGCAATGACAATTTTACGATCTTCTTCCCCGCCATATGAGTCTTCTGCGCCATTAGCGCAAGTATCCGCCGGTGCCAGGCCGCCGTGCAAACACCAAGTTGTCGCCGTCCTTCCTCAAGATTGCTCATGCCCGTCTTGGTCTCGACCCCGACCGCGATGGGAGAGTGCCGCAGTGGCGTGTACGCCAGTTGATTCACGCCCATGGATATAGGCATGTTCGCCACGGCCTCACGGATCGCCTCTGCCAGGGTCGGGTCCGCCTCCCGCTGTCGCCCGGGCCGACGGTGCTGGTCACACGGAATGCCCGGATCCACGAACAACGCCAGGGCAAAGTCAAGTCTCTCAGAGTCAACCGTCTCGCGGGCTTCCGTCCTGTTCAGTGCGAGTTTCCACGGCGGGATGAACGGTGGTGCGATGGACGCGTGAGTGACAGCCTCAACAAGCACGTGGGCGCAGTCTGGCCGGTCGAGGGCAAGACGGAATAGCGGGCTGTGTACCTCCATGTTCCACGTCGCCTCATGCCGGCCGAGCACGCGGCAGCTGTTCGCGGCGGCGATGAGGTCGACGAGCATATCCAACTCGGCAAGAGCGGTCATGCGCGGGCTTGGCTGACGCCGTTGCCGCCGCTCTGAGTACGACGCCCCAGACGGCGTCTCATTGTCATCATCGCCGTAGTCATTGTCGCTATCATCGTCGTGGTTGTCGTCTCCCGTGGCCTGAGCGGCATCGCTGTGCAACGGGTGGGTGTCCACCTCGGGCATTCCCGCGTCATGGTAGAACCATGTCTTTCTATGGCGGCGGCCGGCGGCACTGTCAATATCTTTTTGGATTGAAAGAGGTATGAACGCCTCGTAGTGCACGGTGATATTCCGGATATGTTTGTATAAGCTTTGCACATCAACCGGTAGCTGGACTAACGGGTTATCCGCTATAACCGGAAAGCGCACGGGCTTGTCGAGACCGTTAAGCGCGGTGGTCGTTTTGGCCGGGCTGGTTGAACGCGACCTCGACCGCTGCGCCGTATCGCCAGATGCGCTGGGGGTGCCCGACCTGATGCCGCTTGGCTCGCTGACAGTTGACCTGGGATCGGGACTCTTGGCGATTGCGTTGTAATTGGGGCCGGACGAAGTGGTGCCCTTCGACCACCGCTCGTGAAACCAGGATGTGCTGAGTTCAGGTTGCGATTGTATCGTATTGCTCGACGTCTTTTGCCGCACGAAGTAGTCGAATAGGATTGTTGCTTGCTAGGTGTTGTGGTTCGACTAGTTGGGTCGAGGAGCCCATGTTGGGCTGTGGATTGCCCCGTCGTCTCGTTGCATTATTCCAACTACCTAGGTAGTCGGACAGAAGACCGGAGCACTCCTTTCCCGTATCTTTCTGCAACAAAACTAAATCGGTCATCCAGAAGTTATGGCGGTGTGAGAACAAGCTAAATCAGGAACGCGCATGACGCGACGACAACACTCTCTAGGTATCCAACCAAAAAAAACGCCGATCTCCAAGTGGGGTGCCGCCGAAACTTCGGACGACTTGAACGAAAAAAGCCAGTCGAAAGCCCGAAGTTTACTTCTTATTTAACTCGATTTCTTTTATTTAAATTTTATTGCTCCCCCTCTTTCCTCTTCTGTTTCTTAGTTAGTTTTTTTTTTTTTTTTTTTTACTTGTTTCCTTTTCTGGATCTTTTGCTGCCCAACCCGCTCAGGTCAAGAAGCCGCAGCGGCACGGACTCGGATCGGAGCTTGTGGGGCCGGCATCCACTCCACACCACCGACTCATCACCACTTGCTCGCAGCTGAATCAAAGGCATGACTTCGTGGCACAGGAGCACATCAACAGCACCTGGCCCTCTTGTAGTGGGTTAGTAAAGTCCATAAACGACAGTCGCCTTGCGGACGCCCCTTAATTCCCGTCTATCATCTCCATCCCACAACCCAATCAGGCCAGGCAAACTTACACAGCACCGAGCCCCCTGGTCCACATTCGGGCCTGACTGTTTCACCAACACACTTCACAAAGGTGATCACATGCAACAAAAATATATACAACACCGGGGATTCGCTGGTCGTCACCGACCCAACTACTGATCCAGCTCTCACGAGTTTAACTAGGGGAGAGCGGACGGGATCCCGTGCTTTCTCGTGGATATGGTCGTATATGATAGTTGAGGGAGACAATGGTGTTCATGAAGGTGAGCTCTGGTCCACAGAAGAAGGCAAAAAAATACACATATACACATACAACACCAAGGATTCCCCAGTCGTCACCGACCTGAGTACTAGTTTGGCTCTCACAAGTTTATCGAGGGGAGAGCAGACGGGATCCCGAGTTCTCTTGTGGATATGGTCGTATGTGAAGGTCATGTGCGCAAGTGCCGTTTATGAAGGTGGGTTCTGGTGCTCCGAGATTGCGGTTATGGAGAAAACAGGTGAGGGCATGCGAGAAACAACGTGGCAAGATATTACGACATCTACTCGGCACAAAATGCATCAGCAGAGGTTAACTAATTTATAATTCCATTAATGTTTGTAGATCTACCACACGAATGCAAAACTAGGGTATTGCCCGCAAAATACTCCTCTCCTAGCTCGTTGTCATAAGCCCGCAAGCAAATGCACCGCACCCGCCATTCCCAAGTTCCATATGAACCCAGCAGCCCTCAAGGAGGGTCCCGAGTTTTCAGGTAAAGGGCGCGCCTGGTCCGGCGGAGCTACCTCTGAGACCTGGGGCCCAAAGCTACCGGTACTTGTGGGAATAGCCCCTGATTCGAAGTCTTCGACTGCCGTGCTGGGAAACTGCGTGCTGCTCGTGGTATCTATATCCTCTGATGCCCCAGCCCCACACTCGCCGACCACTACTGACAGGTCTTGAATGTTGCTGAGTGCTGCGGGCGATGAACCACAGTTGGTGGCTTGCGTCATCCATATCGAGTCGGTTTCGAGGTCAAACACAGCTGTGGTGTTTAGTTAGAGATACGCTGGGAAGTCAAGGGATGACCTGGTCATGAACATACTGTAGGCTGACCGCAGGAAGGTATCCCCGAGCAGCGTAAACCTGTCGCTCGCCATGATGCCGAGGAAACAGGACGGCGGTGTGCTAGCAACCTCCCGCGTAAGCTCCTTGTAGGGCACCTTCACGGTCACCCCATCAAAGACAAAATCGAGGGTTCCATTCAACGCCGTCAAGGCGCAGTCGATCATGTAAAATCCGTTCGAATCTGGGGACTCGGCGCCAAAGTCTCTGGCGACGGCCGCCGTCAGGTTTGCAGGCAGAAGCGTCATGGTGGACCCGCTGTCGAGAAACACAGGCATGCTGCTGCCCTCATAGACCGTAGTAACGCCGTTCGGGGGCGTAATCGAGAGAGCCTGCATGTCAACCCAGAACCGAGGAACACCGTCGGGCGCTTGGGCGGCCGGGAGGATAGGCAGCTTGGCCAGCTTGCCGGCGAATTTAGATGTGTCGACGCCCCCAAACACGATAACACCCTCCTGCGCATCCTTACTCCCCAGCGCGAGGGTGTATGCCTTGACCCTTGTCGCATTCTGCTCCCGCAGTTGGTCGACGAAGTTGGGGTATCTCGTGGCGATGCCTTTCCCGTACCCTATTCCTAAGATACCCGAAAATGCATCTACTGAAGCGGTGGCCACGCCGAACTGGACATCCTGCAGTGACATGGGGCTCCCGGCAAGCGAAATGGTGTCGGTGAAATAGGAGATGTTGGCCGCGCCAATCCCGTAACGCAGAGTCCGGGTGGTTCCGAGGGAGGTTGCTGTTGACGACGCGGTGGACTCATAACGACCGGCCCGTTGGCAAAAAACAGCATCACCGCCTGATACTGTGGTGCAGTCTGGATTTACCCATAACTCAAATGACCCTGTGTCCAACTGTACAAACACGGGTTGTGGCGGCGTCCCAAGGCTGACTACAACAAGGTTAGTGGCGAGCATAAGGACAATCCAGGCAAGTGATAAATACGTTGAGCATAGTAGGCGACGTCAGACCGGTTCGCTAGCTGTAGTTGGATTCCCCGTTTGTTCGAGAAATGCGCGACGTTTGTTGAGTGAACGATGGGAAGGTGTACACACCCGTCGTCGTGGATGGCTTGTTGGAGTGCTGTGGCATGGTGGCAGAACAAGGCTAGAAGCAACACCGACGCTGATAGAAAGAAGCAAAGTGCCATTTCTGGCTACGGGTTCCGGCGTCGAAAGGCCCTGGTGACGTCTGCATGGGCAGAGGCGTCAAGATCGTTGGGCTCGGTTGGGAAGACGAAGAGGCAAGGATGCTGGGTGCCGGCCAGCGGATTCCACGCACAACCCAAGAAGCGAAAAGGACGAAGCGAACAGAGGTATGGAAGCCGGGCCAGGCTCACCCACGGCGTTGGCTCGCTCCAAGTGCTCCGGGCAGTGACGGGAAGGAGAAGGGAAGGAGAAGAAAGAAAACGAAAGAAGAAAAGCAAACACCAACACCAAAAGCTGGGAATAGAATGGAAAGCAGTAAACAAGAAAAGAAGGGAAAACAGACAAAACAAAAGAGACCTAGACACCCGTCGTCGAACCGAAGATCAACTTCAGTGGTGCCCAGCCGTGCCAGCGGAGGTGGATAGGTGCAAAGGGGACAAGGACAAGAAGGGGTGTAACCGAACCCCGTGTACTAGGAAGCGTCTCAGCCCAGCCCAGACAAACACACACTACTCACCAAGGTATTTGCAAGCACTTGGGAAAGAGGAGGTTCCAGCAAAACTGGGGTCACCATCCTCTACGCATTAGGGCCATCAAGGGGGTGGGGAAGTAAAACAAGGCGCGCGGTTGTTTTCCTGCATCTCATGCCAACAGCCGACGTCGTCAGAGATAAGCGCCAGGGAACATGGCAAAACAAATGCAGTCTTCAGCCATCCTGGCCGCGATCAAGGCCTTTACCCTCTCTGAAGAGCTTGAAGCAAGCGCGCTGTCTTTGTGGGAGTCGTGTACCAATCGTGGGTTCGGTTGTCACCGGTTGTCGCACATTCACCTGCGACAGAGATATCGATGTGGTCTTGAAGATCAAACGTTCAGGGGCTCGATGTTGACTGGGTCAAGTCCCTGCACTGCTTGCAGCTGGTGAGATGTTGCAGGCAAAGACCCCGCTGCACCGTCTCAGAAGCCCTGCCAAGCGCCTATTATCCAATCAATTACAGGCACGCAGCTGCCCCACAGACCTTCGAAACCGGCAACTCTGGGTGCGATCCTCCGAAAGCTGCGCTTCCTGCGCGTTAACAGCATTCACTCACAACCGCAACAACACATGTCGCGGGAGAATAAATCCAACGGCGCGGCAAGAGTGGTATTGTTTATGCATAACTCATAACAATGTCTAACTACGAATAACTCCATGTCACAACGACCCATTATTCAAGCCTCATCGCTGAGCTTGATGATGACCTTGCCCTTGGCGTGACCCGACTCGACCCGGGCGAACGCCTTCTTGAAGTCTTCAAACTCCCACACGCTGTCAACCGTCGGCCGCACGTGGCCAGCCTCGATCAGCTCGCCAATCTCGGCCAGGTTGCTGCCGAGCGGCTTGACGATGAAAAATAGGCCCTTGGCCAACTCCTTCTTCATCCCCTCCGGCTTGCCAGAATCGGGCGGCGAGTTGATGCAAATCATGGCGCCTCCTTCCTTGACCGCAGACCAGCATCCCGTCAGCGACTTCCCGCCGACCATCTCGATCACCAGATCCACCTCGCGCGCCGCCGGGTCAGCCGCCACCCACTCCTCAATCGACGTCTTGGTGTAGTCAACAACCTCAGTAGCGCCCTTCTCGCGCACGGCCTCCTCCTTATCCCCGCCACAAACGGCCACAACCGCCTTCGCCCCGGCCCGCGCAGCGAGCTGCACCACCCAGCCGCCCACGCCACCCCCAGCGCCCGTAACCAGCACGCGGATCTTCCCGTTCCGCTCCCGCGCCGCCGCATCCCCCTTAATCCCCTTAGCATCCAGCGTGCCCTGATCAAACAGCGCCTGCCACGCGGTGAGCGCGCTCAGCGGCGTGGCCGCGGCCTCGACCCAGCTCAGGCCGCCGGGGATCTTGGCGAGCTCGGAGGCGCGCGGCAGGGCGTACTCGCGCGCGGCGCCCGCGCGCGCGGCGTCGATGCGGCAGTAGACCCGGTCGCCGGCCGCGAACCCGCTCCCCGCGGGCGCCGTCACCACGCTGCCGGCGAGGTCCTGGCAGGGGACCATCACTTTTTCCGGCGGTATCGACGCGGGGAAGTTGATCGCCCAGTGGAGCTCGCCTGCGCAAGGGGCGGCGGCGTGCACGCGCACGAGCACGTCGTCCGGGTGGCTGGGCACGGGGAGCGGGTGTGTGGTGGAGATGACCTCGGTGGTTTCGCGTGAGGCTTGGAGGAGGGTGCGCATGGTTTCGGGGAGGGCGGTGGAAGATGCCATGGTGCGGGTGTGGGTGCGGGTGGTGGTGGTGGTGAAGAAGGTTGTGGTAAGTCTGCTGCTGAGAGGTGGGATGGTGTTGGTTAAGGATGAGCTAAGGTGAGGGATGTTTGCTCGAAGTATATGGGGCCAGAAGGGGCGGGTTGCCATGGTGTGAGGAAGGGTGTGTCGCATGGTGAGGAGGCCGTCATGGCATTTTATATCAGAAAGCGCCATCTCCCGATGGTCGCCGATGGGTGAGAGCTCGCGGGCATGTTCCCGGAGGCAGCGACGCAAAGCATGGCTCGTTTAAGCTTCTCAAGGCCCTTCCGGCCAATGACGACAGCATCGAAGCTGCCCCGCGTCGCCAAGCAGCGTGTGTTGAGTCAGCAGTGCGACTTACATGTCCGTTTTCGGGCTCGCATAGGAATGCGAGGCCCTGGGAAGCTTCTGGCTCCAACGTAAATCGTGCTTGAACCTCTCCGACGTCAAGTTGGTCTCCCCGAAAGATCCCGTCCGGGGATGCGCGTTAATCAGCAAGAGGGAGAAAACCTGCCCTCCAATATCCAAAATGCATCAAAACATTTTCAGCCCGAAGCGAAAAGTCGATGCCGTTGTCTGTTACGTGCCTAAGGTTGCTCCCCTTGTGAGTCGAAGCGGGGTCCGGGCTGCCGCCTTGTTGCAACTTTGCCCGGCACGGAGCCGGACAGTTTGGTCAGCCGCGTGGCCGTCTTGCTGACTTCTGCACTTCACCGTCGCTAAATCTGGGTCTCTCAATCACACATCACACACGGCCAATCCATTTCGACTCACCAATGCTGAGTTTCAGAGCTTCCATCGAGGTGTCACCGTAGTTGACAAACCTACTTGTATTTCCCTTACCAATCCCCCCACTCGAATTCCATCCACGTCTCGTCATGTCTCCCTCTCCTCGCCCGCCCCCGGAAGGCGGTTTTACTTTCACCTATCAGCCCTCCGTCGCCGGCCTCAACATCGACGCCAAAACCTTCGTGTCATCACGCCTGCTCATCGCAGCGGCAGCGACCGGCGCTCTCGTCTTTTCTAGGGCCACTGGGGAAGACCGCGTCCTCCTCATCCAGCGGGCACCGCACGACTCATTTCCCCTGCTCTGGGAAATCCCCGGCGGTGCCTGTGACTGGGAGGATGAGTCCCTATTTCACGGCGTGGCGAGGGAGCTGTGGGAAGAGGCCGGCCTGAAGATGACGAACGTGGTGAGGCAGGTTGGCAAGGAGGAAGGCTTCATCATGAGGAACGGCCGTGCTGTGGCCAAGGTTACGTTTGAGGTTGAGGTCGAAACCCCGAAGCCCACGCAATCGGAGGGAGGATCAGAAACTGAGGCCCTGCCAGAGGTGGTGCTTGATCCGAACGAGCATGTGCGGTTTTTATGGCCAACCGAAGAGGAGTGCCGGCTGGGGAAAGTTACTGTGCCAGGGTCTGGTGGGGAGGAGGAAGTAGTGGACCTAAACTTCACAACGAAGCATCAGAAATGGGTTGTACTGCTGGGCTTTAAGCTCAGAAGGGGAGAGTCAGGAGAGTAACAACCTGCGAGCCCACATAATAATCCCTAACCCTGTATCCCAAAACCTTGCTACTGTGTAATGCGAGCGATTCGTTTTGTGAGTTTAATGCTTGCCCCACTGTCAGCTGCCCACGCGACGCGCCGGCTTAGACTTTCAAGGCACCACCAAACAAGACGCCGTTTGTTTCATTCTTCGCAACTCAACTCGAGATGCAATGGCCACACCACCAGCATCTTCTGAAGGCGACGTGTCGCTGTTTAACTCTTCCCAACCCTTCAGGGGTGTCGTGGTCTGCTGCACTAGCATTCCCACCGAATTGCGAGTAAGTTGATCGCGTCTTTTAAACTTTCTTGAACTTTTAGCCTGCCCCCGTTTGTAGTGGCAGCGCTTGACACCCGTGCATTTTGCACGTCGCCCACATTCAGGAAGCATGTGTCTAAGATAAACTTGCTGACTCTCTGTCCCGTCCAGGCAGACATCGCAGCCAAGACAATCGAGCTCGGCGGTCAACACAAATATGACCTGACACCCGACTGTACCCACCTGATCGTCGGCGACTACGACACCCCCAAATACCGTCATGTTGCGAAGGAACGGCCAGACATTCGGGTCATGGTCCCCAGCTGGGTCGAGGCTGTCCGTAATATCTGGGTAGAGGATCGCGAGATCGACTTTCTGGCGCTCGAGAAGGAATGGCGGTTGCGCACGTTCGAGGCGGGAGGGGGGGAACCAACCGCTGACGGTTCCGAACCCCGACGCCGGCAGCTTCTCTGCTGCATGACCGGTTTTGAAGACCCAGATGAGCGCGAGCAGATCATCGGCCAGATCGAAGCCAACGGTGGCCTTTACACTGGAGACCTCACGAAGCAGGTCACGCACCTCATCGTCTACAAGCCGGAAGGGCGGAAATACCACGCCGCGAAGAACTGGGGTGTCACCACGGTCTCCGTCGAATGGGTCACGCACAGCGTGGAACGCGGCCTGATCCTGGACGAGAAGCTTTTCGACCCGGTTCTGCCTCCGCATGAGAGAGGGGTGGGCGCCTGGAACAAGCAGCGCGCGCGGCTCTCCTCGCTCGGCAAAAGGCTCAGGGATAACAAGGCGGCCCAGGAAGAGGGAAAGAGAAAGCTACGCAAAACCGCTAGCATGAAGCTAAACACTCAAAGGGACAACCTCTGGGGAGATATTTTGGGGAAGCCACAGGCCCCCGAGCCCGCGCCCGCGCCCGCTGCGGTTCCCCAACATGCCGCGGCGAACCTGGAGACTCTACCACATGCTCAGATTACACAGCCTACACAACTCACACAACCCACGCAGTTAGTGGGTGGCAAGTTACACGATACGCAGGGGTCAAAACTCTCGTCCTTTGGTGTCCCAACGGACAGCGCTGTTTTTGCGTCCTGCTGCTTCTACGTGCATGGCTTCTCGGCGCAGAAAACCGAAATCTTGGTCAACGCGATTGCCTCCCTCGGCGGGTTGATCTGCCACTCCCTCGAGGAGGCGGTGTCCACATCTGGCGCCCAGCTATCCCACCGGTTCCTCATAGTGCCGCAAACATCTTCAGAAACACACCCTCGAGCTCCCGAAAACCTTCACGTCATTACCGAGTTCTACATTGAAAGGTGTCTACACAAAAAGTACTTCTTTGACCCGACCCAGCATACCATCGGCCGGCCTTTCCCCTTATTTCCAATTCCTGGCTTCGAGGGTCTCACGATATGCACTGCTGGCTTCACCGGTGTCGACCTCAATCAGGTAGACAAGTCCGTCCGGCAGCTGGGTGCTCGTTATGAGGAACGGTTCACTGGGAACGTGTCGCTCCTTGTGTGTCCGTCTTTAGAGGTGGTTCGAAAACAAAAGCTGGAGCTGGCATTGGCATGGGGTGTACCCGTTGTCAAGGCCGATTGGCTATGGGATTGCATCGCAACCGGTTCCATTACCCCTATCAAGCGTTTCTTGTTTCCTGAGCTGAAGCAGAATTTTGACAGCCCAAAGACACTCATCCAGCCCAAGGAAAAGGGGAAAGGCAAGGACAGCATGAAAGGAAAGCAGGAGAAGCCCCAAACCAATAATGGTATCGACAACGACTTGTTACCGAAACCGTCCACCAAACCGAAACAGCGCCCTGATCTTGACGAGTCGGCATTTGTAACCGCTCGGGAAGACCAGCACGAGCCAACCCACCGTCACAAGGCGCCTCCAGCAGTTGAACACGACTCGAATGTCACAACTACCACACACTTTGAAACAGCTCCCACTTACGCGTTCCCAACAAATGATGCCAACATCAGCTTCGGCACCAAATCACTAGCTTCGGGAGCGCCCCTCACCGAGGCCTCCTCCAGCTCTCTCAACAAACCTACCAGCACACCCCGAAATCCCGATCCTCCGCCACCCCGAAAGTCCCTGAGCCGGATAACGAGCGAAGTAGCCGATTCGGAAGCCACTGACGGCGATGTCGCCCAACTCGACGATCTCCCGGTCGAAGAAAACCAAGAAAACGCGGGAGGTTCTACACAGAAGGAAGCGCGGCCAGACCCCGCAGCAGAAAAGAAACGCCTCGAAGCCGAAAAGGCCGCAGCAGAACGTCTCGCCATCTCCACCAAACTCGTCACCTCCCTCCTCGACTCCACCATCGCCAAACTCGGCACCACCCCCACCACCGCCTCCATCCCGACCGCCCTTCCCCTCCCCGGGCCCGACGCCAGCGCCGATGAGGCGCCAGCCGAGCTAGGCACCCTCGCCAAACCAAAACGCCGCAAGCGCAACATCCTCGGCCGCGCCATCAGCAACGTCTCCGCCGCCAGCAGCACCAGCAACGGCGAAGCCGCTGGCGCAACCACCACCACCATCACCACCACCACAAAACCCCACGCGCCCACCGACGCTCCTCCCGTCGCCACACAACTCGAGTACGAGGACGAAGAAGCCCGCGGATACAAGGAGCAGCTGATGAGCAAGATGATGGGCAAGGAGGTGTCGGAGAAGCCGTTCTCGGCGGCGAAGCAGAAGCGGCTGACGCTCGCGGAGATGGGCGGGTACGATACCCTGCAGCAACAGGGGCAGGGACGGTATGGTGCTGCTGCTGCGGTCGGGGAGAGGCGGACAAGGAGGCGGTGATTGGGCATGCGCCAGAAAGGGGAAGCGAGCGAGCGTTGATAAGATGATATCTCATATATTTCAGGGTCTTATGCGTGTATGGCTTGGTTCACGGTATGGCAGGATTATGACCGCAATGCAATCTGGGTATTTTCCGTTCCGTTTTCCGTCATCATTTGTCTCAGTGCTACGTGAAGGGTAAATATGCGAATGATCACACCCATGGTGGAAGGGAAACGCCCATGAGAAAGCCTTGGCCAGAACCTTTTGAATGAACTTGCACCGATTCCGATTTCTTAACCAGATCTTCATGTAAATCATTAAATGTTCATGAAAATGAAATAGGGGTATAATAATCTCATGACTCTTCTTGCCATAGTAAGCCCCTCCCCGCTCGCTGACCTTTTTTATCGCACCTCTTAAGAAAACAGTGACGCAAGTAAAAAAAGAAATATACAACCCTCTTAGAGATGGGTCACGGCCTGCGTCAAGACGCTTAGCAGCGTAGCCGCGGCACCGCTAACGCCAATGGCACCAGCAGCATCCTTCAGGGCCGTTTTCCTCGAAGGCCGGTCATCTTCTCCGCGTCCTCTTTGGTCACGGTCGCGGTCACGATCACGATCATGATCACGATCTCTGTCCCTCTCTCTATCCCTATCGCGGTTCCGATCCCGGTTTCGATCACGGTCTCGATCTCGGTCTCTGTCTCGGTCCCTTTCCGAATGGCGTCTTGTCGAGCGGTGGTCGGCATCCCGGTCTCTCTCGCGGTCCCTTTCGCAGTCTCTCTCCTTGTCTCGTTCCCCATCAGCCCCGTGTGACCTATCCGTTGACCTCTCCCGGGACCTATCCCACCTCGGCCTCTCCCTATCCCGCTCCCTGTCCCGGGGCCGGTCCCGGTCCCGTTCCCGGTCGCGATGGCGGTCCGAATACTGCGCCGGCGAGATCTCCCTCGGTCCGCTGCGGTCGAATCGCACATGATTCGGGTTCTTGTTCTTCAGTATCGGCTTCGGCGGCACTGTGCTCGAGGGCGAGAGGCTGTCGCCATTGACGCTCGCTGGCGGGGACACGATGATTGGATAGATCTTGGATCCCTTTTCATCATCTTCGCTATCGAGGTGCTTGTCCCGATTTGGGATGTAGTCCTTTGGTGTGTATCGGTTGCGGTCGTGAGCCCGTGGGACTCCCCCGCGACGGGTTCCGCCGTCCTCGTTGTCGCTCTCGCTAGCATCGAAAAGCGCATCTGACCCGTTGTCTCTCGCCAACCCCTTGCCGCCACTGCCGCCGCCACCTCTCTTTCTATAGTGGTCACCGTACGTTTCCTGGCGGGCCCGGTTCTCGGCATCGGCAGCTCTGGCTGCGGGGGAGCTCCTCGCGTTGCGCACCTCGAAACTCTTTCGCGCGTACTCCTCGATTTGCTCGCGCGTCAAGATGCCAAGCACAGCGACGAAGCTGGGGCGGGCTTCGTACCGCACGCCTGCCTTCTCTAGTACTTCGGGAGACACCAGTTTGCGGTCAATTTTGGTCCAAGTGGCGTCCAAGGGGATGGTCTGGCCCTTGCTGTCTGGAGCGAGGTGGCTCTGTTGCCGTGCCGGAGGTTGGTACTGCTGCATGCCATTATCGGCGGCGGGAGCCGAGGCTGGCAGCGTCGCGAGATCCCAAACAGCATCTGAGGCGGAAGTAGTCAAACTGCTGCCGTAGGGAGGCGGCGGCGAGCCTGGGGATAAGCCGCTCGAGTAGGGAGGAGGAGGTACTACTACCGGTTGCCCATCACGGCCAGGCGCGACAGCACCCGGGATTGGTAACGGTTGAGCTCCCGGCGGTAGGTATCTCGTGTTTGGGGACGTGCCCGGTGAGATGAAATAAAATGGGGAGCGAGTAGGCGACAAGAGGGAGGCGCCCACAGCCGTGAGGGCAGCGACCTTTCCGGTCGAATAACGATCAAAAGCCATGAGTTCTCTAGTCGATATTAGAGCCGTGCTAGATGTCGGGCTGTGTTCGGTTTCAGACAACTTGGACGAGGTGGACTGCTCAAAGCTCAGCTGGGGAAGGGCGGGAGAAGCTGGCTGGGGGTAAAGGGGTGTATGATCAGCCTGTTCAGACGTCGGTACGCGCCGCCGCCCCCCATTGCCGGGAAGGCCGGTGTCCGGATTGGGCTTCGACTCTCCATCACGAATTGGGTACGACGCAGATGCGCCAGTCATTGGTGGTTGAGCATCCCACTCAAGCAACCCGCGAACCGATGGCGGTGTACCGCCACCAAGCGGTTGGTGAGACTCAAGCTCGCGAATGTATGCACGAAGGACGTCCTGTAGCACGTGAGTTAGCTCATGCCATGGCTAATATTTGGCGCCATATGCGGTGGGAAAGGGGCCGTGGCGCCTACCTTATTTTTGCGCAACACTTCAGGCGAAAAGCCCTCCCGCTCCAGCTCAGTCTTGAAACTGCGCCATAGCTCATCTTCATCCGCCTCTATGGGTGAGCGGTCCTTCTGTTGGGCAAACAAACGGTTGGCGACAGCATCCACCTTGTTTTTGATCTCATCCATTTGTTGGTCGTTGACGTTCTCAGGGGCAGGTTGTGGTTTCCCAGGGTTGTGTAGCTGAACGGTGTCAAGAAAGATATCGATCTTCATGGCCTGGGAAACAACATCTCCTCGAATGAGATCGATCTTGCGGGCCGTATCTGACAGGTCCGAGTCCCTTCTTGTTCCTCCCGTTGAGGCAAGTTCCCTGTGCTTCTCGAGGACTGTGCTGACCTGCCTTAGAGCAAAATCACTATCTTCGATGAGAGGTCTTAGCTGCCTCGTGTAAACGGAGGCTTGTGTCACGCCACCGACAGAATCTGACTGGTCGTGAAGGGGCGAGTCGTGGTCTTGGGCTTCGTCGTCGAGGTGCTTCAGTTTGGTGTGTAGGTTGTGGATGGCTATTGCCAAGTCGACAAAATCGGTGCCAGCATCGCGAGTGCGTCGATACAGCTGCCGAGCGAAGGCATCGACGGACTCGATGCTGGGGGCGTCGTCTGTTTTTGTCATGAGTGAATCACTGGGGGGCTTCACACCAGATCGGAGTGCTCCGTCTCTCCCTCGAGAGAGGCGCGGTGCCAAGCGAGTTTCAGTCAAGTAGGGTGTGTGGTAGATACGGAAGGAAGAGGCTGAATCGTCAGCACGGTGGCAGACTCGGTCGCCGGTTGCTACCAAGTACTAGGCTTAGTTGAGTCAAAGGATGACAGTGTGGGGCGCAGCAACAAATGCGAGCAGCAACCTAACTAAGTCTCCAAGCGGCAAGAGAGACGAGAGGCAAGACAACTTGAAGAAAGCTTCGGATAAATGAAGTCGCCCAAGTTGTCAAGTCAGGAAGGAACGATCACCTGGCGTTCTGTCAGGCTCGATATCGCTGACGAATCGCGAACAAGATCGACCGTGTTTCCCGAAAGGGTGTCCATTGGGTTGGCACACACACACACCCAAGCCAGCATTCCAGCATGTCATCAAAACATGTGGCACTAGCGCCGCCGAGCACTCCTCACGAGGTTCAACATGGGGCAACCTACCCCATCCCGAGATCGCAGCATCAATAACTCTCGGTATGTACACCCTGGACCAACAACCAAACCCCAGGGCGAATGCAACGCAGAGGCACAGGTCTCAACCCATGGTGAAGCGAGAAGATTTATACTAACCAATAGTAAATATTTCCATCATCTAGAACTGATTCACAGGCTCGCGAAGTTCGGCAAGGGAGAAAAGATGGCGGCAGCCCAAACGAGCTGGGAGGTGTGGTGTGGGCTCGTAGTGGGACAAGGCAAGACACGAGAGCCCAAGTGACGTCTGTCGGTTACAGCGCCTGCAGATCGAGCGGCAACCAGTGAGCCAGTTTGCCAGTCTTCCATCCCAGTCAGTCACCGGCGGGGCCTGTTTTAGGGCTGGCGAATGACAGCTTTCGTTGTCTCGCACCCCAGCAATTTCGCCGATGACGTCCAACCGCCAGCTGCCTGCAAGCAGGGTGGTGGCGAGCATCAAACTTCTCCAGGGTCTTCTGCAGGCCAGCTGCGCCTGTGAGCCAGGACGTTCATTCGCCTGATCTTGCCGGGTTCGTCCAAACTTCCTACCATCTTCAGGGTCGCTTTTCGTTTCCTCGGTACTAGGCCGCAGAAACGGCCTCGAAGACGCCAGAAAATATAACTAAAATTAGTCTAAATCCAGGACACATCCCACGGCAGGCATTTGTCAATTTTTGAGAGTTTTGATACATCTGTTTCAAAGGTGGCAAACCGGCACTTGTCATGGACAGGTCGTATCGAATCTGCGCAAGATCTTGCCTCAATGGAGATGCCGATGGGCTCGGCAGTGCAGCCCAACATTTGCTGCTGTGCTCCAGTCCAGTCCAGTCGGAATGGGGAAGAGAGGCCAAGGCCGAATTCCCCAAGCCCTGACCGGCACGATTTTCTCAGAGAATCTGACAGCTCAAGAAGGCAAGATTCGTGCGTGCCCAGTCACCACTCACCCAGGATGGTCGAGCGAGGCTGTGAAGGCGGGGCGCCCCGTCGTTCTCAACTTGGCATTTCCGGTGCCGCTTCTAGAATCTCTGCCGTGTCTGAGATCGCCGGCCTCCACGTTACGTTCGGCGCACGCCCTGGGGAGTCTCGGAGTGCACCCAGTCCGATTTGTTTCCACCGTGAGTCACCTCGCCCGGACCCCATTGGGGAAGAAGTGGAAGAGAATGGCGGAATACTGGGAAATGGGTGAGGCCATCTTATGCCTTGTGTGAGGGAGCAGGCAGGATTGGTGTGGGTGGTGGCAGGTTTGCCCTCTGAAAAAGACCACCAGAGCGAGAAAGATGGTTACATTGAATAAGAGCTGCAGGTGAGTTCAAAAGAGGGTCCCTCGGGCCCCAGGTTGAGACGCGTTTTGGGGGTTATGTATGTGCAGACATACGTATATATCCGCTGTGTAACTGGCCGCACCTGGATCAAGGAATGCGGGGAGCCTCGACTCCTCGATTCGGAATGTGATGCCGATACCGATGAGGCTCAAACAAGCCGTCGCCCCCATAAGCATCACATAGCCGCCCTTTCCGCTCATTTGACTCACTAAACATGGAAATAATCACAGCATTGCATACGCTATCCACAGCCAAGGCAATCCAACATGCATTACATCAAGTCTCCCTCCCCAACCGCAATCCTTGTTCGACAAGCTCAGCGGGCTTCCTGAACGACAGTGGCGCCAGCTCCACCCTGCAGTGTCTCCTCCGATATCCGATGCACCGAGTAGATTCCCCGCTTCTTGCTAACAAAGTGACCAACCTGTCTGCTACTCCGAGGGACGATTTCGCCGCCTGACCTGACCCTCTCCGTGGAAACGCGGGTGTCTGTCTTGAGCCCCAGCGGAAGTTCCTCGGAAATGGGCAGAGATACCGTCTTGGCCTTAGCCGAGCCCACAAGTGCTTTCCTCGCCCTTTTTGCGTAGCTGACTGCCTCCGCTAGAGCCCCTTGCAGATGCACGGCCTCCATGATGCCTTCCAGGGCCACACTGACTTCGGCCTGGAACTGGCTAAAGAAATCGGCCGAGTCCTCTTGGCTGCGTGAGCTTGCGAGCATGGTATCCGAAGCCATCCATCCACCCAGGCCCACGGAGTCGATACATCTAGACATGAGATCTGCGATGAGCTGGATGCTCCCATCAGGAGGCGCTTCGATTTCACTCTGGTCGACTCCAGTGCGGTCGAGATAGCGTGTAGTCCAGCCGTCCTTAATGAGCTCAGCCCGCAACACATTCATCAAACCGATAGTCTCCTCAGGTTTGAAGAGACGGCGAAGGCTCTGGACCGTCGCCACCGCGGGACACGCTGCCAATTTGCTAAAAGCAATCCCCAAGCCTCTTGTCCGGTGCCCGCCCAAGTAGTGTTCCGTGATTTGTAACTCCTCCTCCGCTCGATCCAACTCCATGGTGATTGCTTCATTCTCTTGCGCGTGTGGCTCTTCGCCGTTCTCTGTGAGCCGCATCAAAATCTTGGAGGAATCCTCGAACAAACCCAGGCTCCGGAGCAGAAGTTTGATGGAAGACACCAGCTCCGTCGATCCAAGCTGCGTCCCTGATAGGTACCCTAAAAGGAGCTGCATCGTAGGATCGGCCTCAGCTAACAGAACGGGAATTTCCGTCCCGATGATGTCTTCGGCCTCATTCACTTCACGAACCTCGTCCCTAAATGCCGATTTGATGTTTGGTGTCGACAGGTGTCCAGCATCCACAAGATAACTGAGGACGTTGCTGTCTGGGAGGCGACATGCCAACCGTGAGGCGTTTGAGTCATAGCTCTGTTCGTTCCAAGTAAAGGTTTTGTTGATGGCATAGAAGACCCAACGCCTATCAACGCGCGGATACTCAGCCCTTGACGAGGGCCATACCCATTCCGAGAGGTGAGTCGGGGAAGCAGTTCCATTCGTCAGCGCTCCTTTCTCAACCTCAGGCTCGCCTGACTTGATAGGGACCTTGAAAGCTTCTGCTAAGAGCTCTTCCCAAGAGCGGAGGTCGTTATTGTGAAGAAGCTCGTCTGCCTGTACGGATTTGCTTTGCCATTCCGGCCACGATGCCTCTGCCGAACCAAACCCAGGCTCCGCGAGGACGGCAGAAGCGGGATGGTCCGCCCGAGCTCGCTTTTGATCAGAGACATCTCGAGAAATGCCGCGACGAATCGCATCTGTCAGCAAACCTTCTGCGCGACGCTTCGTGGTCCGGTTCTTCGGCGCTTCAATTTGGACCGCGGCGAGGTTCGATCCACGGAGACAGACGGCGATCTCCCGACTCGCGAGATAGGTAACGAACTCGAATGCCCCAGCCGCATCTTCTGGTGCCTCGGCATCGGCGGGGGTGCTGGCCTGGAGCGACCGGTAGATCGGGTTGTAGACCGAGAAGCCATCAGCTGATGCTGTAAGGACGGATGTCTTCGATAATCGAAGGAACGAGGTTAGGCCTGAGACTTGCAGCTTGTTTTCGAGTCGGGGTATGCCATTGTTGAAACCGTATGTGGTGATCGTGCCCCCAGATAGCGTTTGTAGCGTTCCGGATCTGACGTCGAGCTGGTATCTGGCGCAATCTACTTCGACCGGAAGAGGAGCAGCAAACACCGAAATGAGACGCTCGTTGCTCGTCTGCTGTGCCTCCCTTTCCGAGGGCAATGCCAGGACGTGCAAGTGCCGCCTCTGGGACAATTTGTCCGAGGTGATTACGATTAGGAAATCTGGGTTGAAGCCATCGCGGTGAATCTTCTCCTGGAAGACGCCAAACAATTCGTTCCTACCATCAAAAAGTCCATCAACTACGTCGGCCGCCAACGTAGGCTGAGCGAAGTCAACACGAAGCTCCGACTTCGAACCCGCAAGGAGTTCTTTAGATAGCGCCGACGACGACACCTGCCACCGCTCCTCGAGTGTCTCCCCATTCAAACACAAAATCGTGCCATCAGCAGCCAAGACAACCAGGTCGTGATCGGAGGATTCGTCGCTCGCGAGGTTTGTTTTCGAACTCCGGGGTGAGCTGGCGAAAAGGTTGACAATGGGCGCATCGCAGCGGAGAGCATGAGAAACCGGGATCGCTGTTGTCGTGCCCGCCCCGGAGGTCTCCTCTTTGAATAGCTTAATCTCCCGCTTCGAGGAAGAAGAGGATGCGTCGCTCGTCAAAAGCGAAACGTAGGTGTAACGTGTAGCCGTCTTGGACGATGCCGGCCGCCAACGAAGGGAATACGGCGCGCAGGTGAAGACGGACTGAGGTGAAATCAGGTAGGATGTGACAGCTTGGGAGGAGATGATCTAGAATAAATCAGCACAAGGATATAAGATCTGGCGTCTCCAGGGTTCTAACATCGTATATGTATACGGCAACGCCGTCAATCGCTACGGCGAGCTCCGTCCTTTTGCGCCGCTTATCGTCTTGTTTCTGACCAAACACATCTCCCGCGAGATAGCGACCCAAGCCATCTGAGCCATTGAGCGGGCGCGGAAGTGCCTGAAGCACGTATGGCGTGTGAATTTGAAGTTTTGCCGCCATTTTGAGTCCACCGGGGCTGCGGATTGACGAGGTTGTAGGCTGTCAAGGCGAATGCATCGCCATAGGTTGTCGCGCAGCTTCGTTTGACAAAAAAAAGAGGCAGCTCCATCGCAAAAAAATAAGTGGGGTCGCGATTGGGGGGGTGTGATAGTGGGCTTATCGGCAGAGCCGGCCTATCTTTCATCCAAACCCCGACGCTCCACAGCGCGGCTGGACCGTGCCGTTAAAGTTGGGGCCTTGAAGTTGGGCAACTTAGCGAGCGCGCCAGTTCAATTGACGGAAGCGCGACGCGCGAGTCGGCAACGCGTACCTGGAAGAGAGCCGCTCGACAGCAGCTTCACGTTGCCACTGAACAACGACGCCTTCCGCCCTTTCTTTCTCATTCCTTTCCATAACCACTCCTAGGGGCCCACGGCGTTTATTTGATACATTATATATGACGTTCTTCCATTTTTCCCCAGCATGATAACCCCCAGTCACATTCTTGCCCCGGCCTAGCCCATTCTCTCAGCACCGCTGTTCGCCGTCAGTCCAACCTCTCCATCTTTCCACATTTAGCTGCAATTCTTGAATTGCATTGTAGAATTAGCCAAACAAAAACTAATCAACTTACCCTTATAGTTCGGGGTGCTCCTCGCGAATGGGTCCTGTCGAGGCCCTCATCATGAACGAAAATGCCCCGGCAACCGACTCGGCGACTCGGCGACCGGTGCACCCGTTCTTCGCCCAAAATCGCTCGACCACACCCGTAGCGGAGAAACCTGCTGTCAACGATGCGCCCAATTTACATGACAACAGCCTCGTCTTCCCATCCAACACGACTGTAGGTGGCGAGACAGGAAAAGATGTCACAGATGACATAGCAGCGAGGAGCGGCAGACGGCGCAAGGCCGACGACGAATTGAATGTGGAATATATGCCGAGAAAAGCTCGACCGATCAAGCGGACGAGAAACTCGGCTGGGGCCGGAGATATCGAGAAGCATTTCATCAAACTCGACAGCGGGGCTGGAGGCGAAAACAGGAGCGGCCCTGGCAGTTCTGGTGCCGATGTATCTGCGGAAAGCACCAAACTCTCAGCACACGCCGCGATGGAAGGATGCCATGGCATCGGCAACGGCTTCGAGGCGTGGCCATCTCCAAACGAACAACCCATCGCTGCGAAGGATAGTGGTGTTTTTGAACCGGCTGCGCCCCAAGCCGCGACAGCTAATTCAGCCAAACCGAAGAAGATGTTGCAATTTAACCCCAAGACTGGGACGATTGGGTCGCCCCCAAAACCGAAGGAGGTTCGAGTTCCTGCACCAGAAGCCGAAATCGGGAAAAAGGTGGCTAGCAGACGTGGGAGAAAGCGGGCTTCAAAAATCGTGCGTATCACCTACGGAGCCGATCAAAAAGCTCGCGCCAGGCTGGGTGAGATGATCAATGCGATCCTCGATGGGAAAGCACAAGATCCCAGAGCCAGTGCCCAGCCACCACCCACATCCAACAACGAAAAACAGTTGCCGAAGACAACAGAGACGCTCGCACCAAAATCCGCGAATGCCACGACCCATCCCTTCTTCCTGGGACAATCCAAAATAAGCGATCCAGCTGCTGCCGATTCCAAGCCCAAGAAACGCAGTTCGTCCCCGGCCAGCGCCCGTACGAAGCACTACTGCGCGACGCCGTGCTCCCCGAGAAAGCCCCGTGTGGGGCCCGCCTCAAAGGTTCCCCTGCCTCAGTTTGGCGTCAAAAGCTTAGGGTTGAAGTTTCCGGGCGCAAAACTACCAGCATGGCCATGGCAAGGGATGGTACACGTCCGAGGTGATGAAAACGAAATCCCAGGCGTAGGAACCGATACCCTACCTCTTGCTTTCCGGAAATCGAAAGGGAATGCAGTCAAGATGTTGCCGAGCGAGTCTGTCATCAACCTCGTTGCCGACTCGATGCAGCTCTCATCCATGGCTAAGGCTGTGAAAAACATCGACACGGATAATTTTATCCCTCCACCTCCCGAACTCCGTCTCCCACAGAAACACTTTGAAAGCGGAAGCAAGCTCCAGTCGCGAATCCTCCCCGAGCTCAGGACTTTCCAACCCTCCCTCCAAACTACCCAAGACACCTATGGCAGCATGCATGCTCCCCCACAACTAGCCCGTCTCTTCGCTTCCATCTCTTCATCTCTATCGGCATTTGACATGTCCCAATACGAGATGTCCAACTGGGTGCAGAAATATGCTCCGATAACCGCCACCGAAGTGCTCCAACCGGGACGGGAGATCTTTTTCTTGCGAGACTGGCTTCAGGTGTTGATGGTACAGGCAGTAGACACCGGTTCGGCAGTCGACATTGACAAGGCAAAGGCTGGGTCAAAATCTAAGTCCGCGGGGACTGGAAAGAAGAAGCGAAGAAAGAAACTCGATGGTTTTATTGTTTCCAGTGAAGACGAAAGCTACGAGTGGTATGACGAGTCTGAGGACGAGGCTGACTGGGCTCCTAGCGGGAGCCGGGGCATACTCCGTAAAACCGTCATTCGTTCCGGCAACCGGGCGAGAGGCAGAGGCGGCGATAAAACCGCGAATGCGTTGGTTATCAGCGGTCCTCGAGGATGCGGCAAGACTGCCGCAGTGTACGCCGTGGCCAAAGAACTGGACTTTGAGGTCTTTGAGATCAATGCCAGCAGTCGGCGAAACGGAAAAGATGTATTGGAGAAGATTGGAGATATGACAAGGAATCACCACGTTCAACAGCATCAGTCCTCCGAGGGGCCGGACAACCAAGAAGTTGCAATCGAGGACGATACGGCCAAGAACATCAAATCCGGCAAGCAACCAACTATGAATGCTTTCTTTGCCGCCAAACCAAAAGAGTCCAAATCCAAGCAGTCAGCAAAAATTCCGGCGAAAACCAAGCAAAGCGAAGCAAAGAAGGAGCCCGCCAAAGTTCAGCGTCAGTCGCTAATTCTTCTCGAAGAGGTGGACATTCTTTACGAGGAGGATAAACAATTCTGGACCACACTTGTCGGCCTGATCGCAC